GAAGTGCCAAACTTGGCAGGCATATTCGAGTACTGGTCTGATAATGGTGCAGTATACCAAAGTTAGAATGCTATTGTCGGCATTTGATCGTTTTAACAACCTTAGCATATAAAGGCGTTTTCCCGCTTTTTTAACAATATGGTTCACATGCTCGTTCCATTTCAAATCATCTTGGATTGAGAGACCAAGAATTCGGGCAGATTTTACCCGCTCAATACCAACGTTATTTATAGTTAACGGTAAAAACTCATGTTTTTCTCTTGCAAAGTCAATTACCATTTCCTTACATTTGCCGATGTTGAGCTTCATATTATTAACTTCACACCAATTATAGATAACATTCACTAGATCTTGTAGTTCACTACTCTCAGTTGATGTAACTCGTTCAGCAAACGTACTGTCATCAACATACTTCCATCTATCGCTCCAATCAATAAGAAGATCATTTATCATAACAAGGAACAAAGCCGGCCCTAACACCGACCCTTGCGGCACTCCACCGTTTAACGTTTGCCAGTCCGAATGACAGTTAGCCAACTTGACTCGTTGTTTACGATCAGAGAGAAAACTTCTAATCCAATTTATAATGGTTTGGGAAACACTCATTTGTTGTAGCTTATTCACCAGTATGTTGTGATCTATTCGATCAAAAGCTTTTTCAAAATCAAGCAAGAATACTCTCACCGCATTGCTTGAAGCATCTGTAGCACTCAGGAGGTGATGGATCAGGCTCAGTAGGGCATGAGTAGCCGAGGAATTTTTAACGGAGCCAAACTGCCGCGTATCAATCTTTGCACCAATTGACTTAAGTAACCAGTCTGTAACAAACCGTTCGCAAATTTTGGATAAAGTGGTGGTAAGTGAGATAGGGCGCAAATCTTTAGAAATGTCTTTAGGGACTGATTTTTTTGGAACAGGGATAACGTTCGCTTTTTTCCACATTGAGGGTACAACTGTTTCTTGAATCGAAGCGTTGAAAATCGATGCCACAGGGGAAGAAAGAACATATGCATAAGATTTAAGCACCCAATTAGGTATTCCATCAGGACCAGGTGATTTGGAAACGGGGATGGCGGACAATTTACAGTATACATCTTTTTCTTCGATAATAAACTGTGGAAGGATACTTGTACTGCCATTTTCAATTAGGTCATCAACTGGAGACTTATTCAAGGGAGGAATATCTTGGGTAGATGAGACAAAAACATCATTGATTTTATATGCTAACTCTTTACCAGCAAAAACATGGTTGTTTACAACGAAATTAGAGAATGTTTTGTTCTTGGCGAAACCCGCAAGCTGTTTTATACATTGCCACCATTTTTTAGCATTGGGGTTTAGTTTTAACTCATCCATCTTTTTCTTAAGGAAGGTTGACTTGAGTCTCTTACTTTCTCTATTGGCAAAATTTCTCAATCTACGATATAGCGGACTTTTGCCCTGACGAAACGCTCTTTGTCTATTTTCTATAATTTTCTTAAATCCGACTGTAACCCATGGTTTATCATGATCGTGCAACTTTACAATTTTACTAGGGAAAAAACAGTCCAAACCAGTATTTATAACTGTTTGAAAAAAATCTAACTTTTGTTCACATGATTCAGCGCGGTACAAGTTGTTCCAGTTTATATCAGCTAGCCACTTACCGAATGCTCTCCTGTCATGATTGTTACCTTGTCTAGTTTTCACTTTTGATGTACCATATTTAGCTGTATTTTTATTAAAGGACCACAGTACGGAATTATGGTCACTTTGGCCGACAGGGGGTAATAACACCGGAGAGTTACAACAGGAAGTCATATTTGTCAAAATTAAGTCCAATGTGGAATTTCCTCTTGTGGGTTCTTTAACTATCTGTTTCAAAGTAAAATGACGTAGTAGGGAGGAAATTGGGCATTTATTAAAGTTTCCAATGAGAAAAATACCAGCGTTGGGGTACAATATAAGAGCAGCGTCAAGTTTAGATGTTAGGTGATCGATTAAGGCACAGTTATCATTGGAGGGAGGGTGATAGACCACACAGATAATTAGGCAGGAAAAGCCACGGAAAAGTTTATTTGGTCTCAGGTAAAGCCAAAGTGATTCAAAATTGTCTTCATGCAAATCTGTTAAGATTTTAAAAGGAATCTGGTCTTTAATATAAGCACAAACGCCACCCCCGATTCTAGAAATTCTATCACGCCGAACTAAGGAAAAGCCACTAATTTCAACGGCACCGTCATCAATATTTTCATTTAGCCATGTCTCAGTTATGAAGGCCAACCCAACCTCATATAGATAGATAGATAGATAGATAGATAGATAGATAGATAGATAGATAGATAGATAGATAGATAGATAGATAGATAGATAGTTTAATAGATTTACATGGCAGCCGAATTGGCTGAATTGCGTAAAATTAACAAAACTTACATATTACAAGCAAATTAAATACAACACATACACAATTGCATATTACTGAATGTAATAGTATTACATATTATATGACATCAGCGCAAATTCAGATATGTCCCCCACCACCACCACCGCTAAAATAGGAAAAAGATAAAGATAAGCTGCATAAGCATTAGATAAGCTGCATAACTTGCGTCGCGTTAAGGTGATGACGTTTACAATATATTCGCGTTTTAAAACTAAGGCCATATAAAATAAATTCCTTGATTCTCATCACCGCCCGACGATATTTTGGTTTCCGCGTTGATATATTTTTGTATTTTGTTATAAAATATAAATTTACCGCCCGACCGAGCATCTTCAGAGATTTAGTTATTTTTATATTTTATATTGGAATTTTTGCGATATAAAATTGTTTTGCCGTTAACATTGCAACATGTTAAGGGATGCTTGGAATACTGAAGGAAAAAATGGGCTTATAGCCTTATTACAACGATTTGTGTGGACCCTTATGCATGTTCATTAGCGCATGTGCAATTATCCACTTATATAGCGTTCTTCTATAATATATTTAAGGGCAAATATAAAAAGACCTCCCTCTCCAATTTTTTAAATTTTAAACTTTTTTTTAATATTTTGACATAAAATATAAACCTCCCGCCTCCTGGGAGTTTTTAAAATTTAGCGATGAGAATCAAGGAATTTATTTTATATGGCCTAACAGTTATGTTTTGCTACATATACTTAAGTACATGTCTAGTATTTATGCTAATCAAGTGAATGCTATTGATTTGGGTTAGACGAGCACATAAAATCCAAAATAGGTGAAAAAATCACGGGAGTTCGTAAATGATCAATCTTTATATTTACGCAAAACCAAAACGGATTGTGGGTCGTTAGCAAGTGTAACTACGGGAGTATGGAGTGTCGGAAGTATGAATTACGTGTGTATGCACGTCCGTGTTTTACACGCTTGGAGGTCGAGGTTTTGTGGTTTTGACTTTGAAAGTACAGCCTTATTTGAATATTTAGCTGTATATATTTATGTATTTTTGGTCACTTTTCTATTTAATAACTATTCCGTTCAGCGAATTGATACCAGTCATTGTGGAAAAACCTTGGGTTGCTCACGTATTCCGCCTGGTTGCCAAGACAACACAGACTGTGACTACTTGCTGACGTTCAACAAGACTGGCACTAAGGTTGTGTTCTCAGTTTCCGGAAAAGTAGATGGTTGGGTTGCTGTTGGGTTTAACGATAAGCCAAAAATGGTTAGTAATATACTGTTGGAACCGACATGACTTTGTGACTACCAAAACTTATTTAAAGAAAGAGGGTCAGTTTTTATAGATTAGAAAGAAATCTTGCAAGGGCAATCTGCATCCTATAGTATATGCAGCAGTACAATATTTGCTATTTTATCGATAGCGATGCCATTTTACAATTATTGTATAATGCATATGGTCTACCAAGGGCAATTGAACCACTGACTTAATGTTATATATCAAATACAATTCAATTCAAAGACCAAAATTTTGGTTCCAATAACAAAAAGAATTTCAGACTATAGTAACTGAAACAGACAAAAATTGGCGATGATAATAAAACCGAACAAAAATCATCTGAAAAGCAACGTTTTGTGTCATTGCATGTGACTGCGGTTTTCTTTTAGAAATGTCAAATTACAAAATTGAAAACCAGATAAAGTCGAATCTATAATTATCGCCCTCAGGCTTTATCCAAGGGTTTCTTTTCGCTCAAATAAGTTAGATTCCATGCACATTGACCCGGCCTCCATCCAGCGGACTGATCAGATTAACCGTTCGGCTATTGTCTCTTAATTAGAGGTTTTACTGTATATGGGATAAAAATCCGTCCCCATTCTTTTATACTTGCAAGCTTGAAAATGTTTCCTCTGTTGTCAGGGAGGTACCGATGCTGTTATTTGTCAACCTCTCGGACGTGATATTAAAATGTCGGTTGCTACCTTAGAATACAGCAGTCCTGATCTGGAGTCTGTAAGTATATATGTGTATAAAAAAATTCCTTTTGTTTAACCATATATATGCATGCAAGTGCATGGGTTTCACTATATTGCAGGACAGCGAATGGTAGTTACTTTTAGGAATGTTGAGTTTTATAAGAGCGACACTATAAAGGCGGTAAACTCGTTGTTTATATGTTTGTTACCAATCTAAATACATGCAATGAGTACCCCATGGCAGTGATATAGAGTTGCAAAGTCAATCTTACCATATGAAAAAATTATTGTTGCACGATTGATGATACCAGCTACGCTCTAGTCACCTGTTGTAAAACACGTCTAACAAAATAGTTAACATCAACACCTGTTATATGCAGCCATTCCCAAATTCGAGTGCCTGCATGATATGCGGTTGAGGCATTATATGTAAAGGGCACCGTCTTTTATATTTCGAACGCCATGTTTGCTATTCGGTTTCTCTTTTAGCAAAATGAAACTACACTCTTGGAAGGAAAGTACGAAGGAGGAGTTATATATTGCAAGTAAGCTACAGAATATCGAGTTTCAGTTGGATCACCAATGATTAATCTCATGCTTAAATTGATGATGCTAGATGATGATGGTTAAGTGGAATATCATTTGCCGGCTTCTGCATGTGTATGATGCAACTAGCTAAAGTAAGAACAAACTTCGACGTTTCGAGCAAAGGGCCGTCCAGACAATGGGTATTCGGCTCGAAACATCGAGTTTAATTAAATTACTCTTATTTTTCAGTTATAGGTATATATAGTTGCATCGTACACAGAAGTCTTCCGATTGTAGGTGATGGTGTTTAATCTGTTGTAGTGGGCAGGCATCATTAATACTTTTTGGCCTTGCGAGCAAAATTCAAAATGTGCCTGCAAAAATGCATCTTATTTAGATTTTGTGACCTAAATATTGTTAAAATGTCGGTATTTTAAAATGTGCCTGCAAAAATGATGCCTGGTGGTGGATGATGGTAAATGAGGGCAGATGTGATAGATGATGGCGCATGGTTAAATCTATGGTACTGGTTGAAGTTGGTGGTTGTGGTATAAACATATTGTGATAAGGGGCCGACCATTTAACTTTTGAGAGAGGTGATTTACCGCTGGAAAGGATTTTTTTGTGGGATCGTTATGTGCAAGATATTTTTTTCTTATCCCATCATCATGTACGATATTTTTTGCCGCTCTCTTTCGCAGCATTTTTTTTCAATAGCTTATACTATTTAGATTCTTTAATAATAGTTATCCGTTGAGTTTTTTAGCTTCATGCATTGCTTTTAATAATACATATTGCTATGAGGTATTGAGGTATAACATTTGGTTCAGGGCCTCTTTTAAGATTGTGTAACTGGAGGGGACATATTTAGCGGGGGACCTGGAGAGGTTCCAGTCGGCAAGTCTATATCACTGCAGCTACCAGCATATATATGCATATATATGCACGTCATAGGGCAGCAGAACAGGCCATAACTAGGATTCTGAGACAGCCGAGTCGATAACCGAAGATGCGAGCCTCTAGAGGGGTCTGGGGGCATGCCCCCCAGAAAATTGTGGATTTCTTGAAGCTCAGATAAGCTATTTTCAGCATTTTGAAGAGTTTTCCAACAAGAAATTAACCTTACACTAGTCCCTGAAAATCAAACTAGCTGATCTTCTGGGACTGGTCAAATCGATCCCTGCAACCATGCTGGGGCAGGATATTTTTCCCACAGTTTGTTAGTGCAGGTTGTTTTTTTTTGTTCAGAATAGCCTTGCAGGAATTTTTTTTCAAAATCAGCCCCTAATGCTGACGCCATACTTATAAGAAAGGTATATGCATAAACTATTTTGTGACGTCAAACGCGGATAAAACTTCGGCTTCGATTTTCTTGTTTGTTTTGTTTTGAAAGGTTTTTCTTTCTCCAGGAAAACTCCACAAAAGCGGTAGGTTTCGCCTATGCCTTTAAAAAATCACCCTTAATAATCAGGCGCAAGCGAAAAGGCCGAGGAACTAGGCTAGGTTTCGCCAATTTTATTTATTTAAATCAATTAGTAGGTAAGACATGATGTTCTCAATGCATGCTGAGAACATTTAGTCTGAAAAACAAAGCAGTAATGGCTACGGATACGAAGACGAGAGATTGTCTCACTATTTTATTTTCGATTTTAAGTCCGTGTTTTACTATTTTTTGTGTTTTATTAAAAGTCAACAGTCAAATTATCCTATATACGTAAGACATGCCACGCATACTGCAAATCCTCTGGAAATTGTTATAATTCGGCCTCTAACAAACCTTTAACCGCATTTTCTATAGGAGTTCTTTAATTTTAGTTGTAAATTTGTACTATAATGTAAGTTATTCGTTCGTAATTATGGTAGGCAGATTCAATTGGGGCTACGCTCTGTCTGCTCACCAATCATCTGCTGTAAATTTGATGATGAAGTTATTAAACTAAACTACACTCCACAATATAAAAAACATTTGTTCATATTTATATTGTAATAACATTTTTACTATTACTGTATTATTTCATCTTATTTTTATCTTAGTTGTAAAATTCAATCACTCCATTATATCTTGTAGAAAAAATGACCATATTCTCTGCTGATTTAAACTTCAGTCCTCTGCCTCTGCACTATACAGCAAAAGTTTTCTTTGTATTTTGATATTTGTTCATACAACATTTATTATAGCAAAAAGTCAACATATTTATGGCCGATGCTCGTCGTATTCCTAAATCAGTGATGTTAATTAAACAAATCTGTGTTTATGTTCAAAGCTGAAGTGCCATCTGAAGAGAAAAGAATATGAAGTTTGTGATGACTATTTTATTCTTAGAAGCCGATTTCTTACAATTTTCAGAGGGTTTGCAGTATGGTATATGTCTTATGTATGACTGTTGATTTTTAATAAAACACAAAAAAATAGTTTAAAGACTTAAAATCGAAAATAAAATAGTGAGACAATCTCTCGTCTTCGATCCGTAGCCATTACTGCTTTGTTTTTCAGTCACAATGACAACGTTCAAGAGGAAAATATTTAATCAATTTTCCCAACATGCATTGAGAACATCACGTCTTAAAAAAATAAAATTAGCGAAAACCTACCGTTTTTGTGGGGTTTTCCTGGAGAAAAACCTTTCAAAACAAAACAAACAAGAAAATCGAAGCCGAATTGTTTATCCGCGTTTGACGTCACAAAATAGTTTATGCACGCTGACGCCATACTTATAAGAAAGGTTTAATAACCAGACATACTACTATGGCGCCCTGGCGCATGCGCAAAACAAGTGCACTACAAGCGCGAAAGCATGGTAGTATTGTATAAACACTATGGTTTTATGATTCCAAACCAACTAACAGACTAACAAACTAACTTTACGTACAGTCTAACAGAATATAACCGAAACTCACGCAGCGAATATAAAGCGATGCCCAACCGCAATCATATTGTGGATGGAAGATTATGCTAGTTATGCTGGATTATAGTAGCCTGAATTTCATACGGCTACTCGTTGAGATTTGAGAATGATTGGGGCATCTCAACGAGGAGGATTATAGTGGATAATTCTGAATGATATTAAGTCATGCTTAATGATAGAGCCGCTCCAGGGGAGGTCGGCTGAGATCAGTCTGCTATCGCCGACTAACTTAATGAGTGTATGTTTAATTTGTTACAGCAAGATACATATACGTTTTGCGTACCTATTTTTTATAGATTCAAAAGACCGTTGAAGGCTAAGGGATCCAAATATCTAATATATGCCAAAGGTTAGAATTTCAGTGTATTTCGATCATTTTTAGGCTTCAAATTCTACTTTTTCACATTCGTCCATAACCAACAACTCCTGAACCTTTATTAATTTAGTTTACGTTGTGTTTCCACAAAACAGAAACCAATTCTAAACTATTTCATTTTGCAAACATTCAAGGAAGTTACCTGATTAACTTTTAGTTTTGAATAACAGTGCTGCCATAACGGGGGTAGGAGCAACCATTGCGTTTACTCTTTGACATTTCCAAAAGTTTTAAAAGACCTTTTCATGCTGGCCTTCAAAATCCAGCCTTTATTTCGGGCCAGGGGCGTAACTTGGGTCTCAAGATTGGGGGGGAGGAACTCATTTTGCCTGACAAAAGGGCGTGGTCAAACAATGCCACGCCCACACTAAGTATAGATTTTATATATTACTTATAAATAAAAGTACTATTTGCACTCATATAAAACAGAAACTTTGTTCCAGATAATATACACATTACAAATTTACAATAATTCAAACATAACAATACATTTGGTTCATGATAGTTCGTATAAAACCCTAAAATGCTGAATGATAAGATTTATGCTATATATGGCTATTTACAGGTGTAGCTATTTCGGTTTCTCGCACGTCATAGACCGCGAGCAGTCCCTCGGGAGAAAGAAGGGACCGCCGACAACACATCAAGAAACGAAATACGCTCACTTTTCGCTCTTGTCAAGTTGGCTTAGCCTCCTCCGTAGGCATCTCACCCGATGAATCGGGTGATCGGAAAAAGTTTGGCGAGAATTTTTTTCAAAACCCATTCGCAGGCTAAGACCCATATCCAATAGGAACCGTTAATGTCATGTTTATTTATAAAATCAATATTCAGTCAACTATCAGAGTTGATTGACAGGCGTATCGATTTCGACCAATGGGAATTTTGCGTTGTGTGGGCAACGCGTATTTCGTTTCTTGATTTGTTGTCGGCAGTCCCTCCTTTCCTTTCGCACGCTCGAAAATCTAAACCCGCGGAAAGGAGGGACCACTCTCAGTCTATGCACGTCAAGAAAGAACCAACCAACTATAAATACGTACTGCAACACTGTCAGTTCAAGGTTGTGTAGCATATATGTTGCTCAGAAAGATCAAAAACAGTATAACGCCAGTTGATATATATTTACGCAGATTAAGCAGATAACAGAGAGAAGCACCGAGCACTTGCACGTGAAACGCAATACGCACACACGTGCATGCATGATTTGTGCACTGAAATTTTTAATATTGCTACCAGCTTCGTAATGTCGTATTTTTTACGTTTAACTTCCCAAAATTTTAAATTCTTTTCACCTGTTTGTTTTTCGCCCGACAAATTACCCCCCCCCCCAACCCCCAGGATTTACGCCCCTGTTTCGGACGTAGCCTAGTTACAAAACATACTTTATATAAATTACATTAGGATCAAGGGCGGGTGCCCACCTGGCTACCGGGCGATGGCCACTTAATTGAAATTTGGTAAAAAAAATTAGAACTAGATAACTCAGATGAAAACTTGTAAAAATATATAGTGTCTAGTTCAAAACCCGATTCAAACCAGAGTGAAATTCGGTGATATCCGGTTTATTTTAACGGCTTTAGTTTGATTTTCACTCTACATGTACCTATATAGGTTGGATTCACTAAACACTAACCTGCATGCAGCAGATGGTGGGCAACCAGCAGCTATCAAATTAGAAAATGATGTTACTGTAATTATTTTCAGTATATTCAGTAGTTTTGTATTTGGAGGCAAATAAATAGAATTGAGAAGTGTATATAGTTTAATTTTCTTCCTCTGGTAAGTGTCATCAGCTTTGAAGTTGATCTGATATCTGCCGTCCTGTAAAGCTTAATGAAAACATCAAATGAATAGTTAGGATGATCGCCTGACATTATTTACAAACGTTCTTTCGCTGTGACAGTGCAAAAATTTCCTTATACAAAGATACAAACATAGAAAAACCATCCAAATTATGTTCGTTTTCTATTTTGCTCATTAGCAATCGCCGCCATCTTGGTTGAAATAGCAAAACTATTCATTACATGGGAAGAAATAGCAAAACTATTCATTACATGGGAAGAAATAGCAAAACTATTCATTAGGGACGCACCATTAGAAAAGTGATGGGGGGGGGGATTTTCTAAGAGGCAATATTTTTTTATTTTGTACACCTATAGAAGAAATTTTTTTTTCTCACTTGATGGTTGGAAATATATTTTTTAAGTGAAATTTATAGGCCTATCAGTGGTGTAGTCCTGGATGGAATGTTAACAAGGGGGGCTCTCCAAAGTGTCCTGAATTGGCGGGAGGGGGGTGCAATAAGATATTTTGGAAATTCTAAATTTTGTTGGGGTTTATTCTAGAAATTGTGGGACAAATATTCGACGTTATTCTTATTAAAAACAAAGGGGCTGAAAGTGAGGGCCAAAGGCCCGAGGAAATTTTTAAATTTAGAGTCTCTGAAATGCCATTTCCTGGACTTTGGGGAAGATTTGACAGAATTCTGATGGTCAGAAAACAGCGTTTTAGTATGTCGAAATTTACAATTTAGTAGTATTAAATGGGCGAAGGCGTATTTAGTTAACTATATATTGGATAAATTGCAGGAAATTATGGGTAATATCTTCATTCTTTGCAGTTTGTCATGGATAATGTAGCAGCTTAAAATTAATCAATTGTCAGTGTTTTAAAGATATATTATTTAAATGTATCGAGTAGCCACAGATTTGTCCTTGGCACATATGGTAAAGACTCTACAATGTTTGAGCCTCTGACCGTATAGTGATGACGTAAACTTTATATCGGTCTATGCGCCGAGGGGACTGACCTAACCTTGGCAGCCTATACTTGCAATGGGGGGCGGTGAGCTAACCTGTGCCTTGCCCACGGTAGAAACGAGTGCTGCCTGCTCTCTCAGGCAAAATGTTTCTTCACCCTGCTGACGAACGCTAGAGGACACGTGATTTTGAAAAAATAATGATTATTAGCAAATTATTTGAGGGGGGGTTGCTGCAGCCCCAAGCCCCTCCCGTTGATACGGCCCTGGATAGAGTTTAAATCAGACAAAACAGGATCGGTATTTCAACAGCCAATTTGCTACGGCGCATGAACAACGCAATATAAAGATTACAAAAATCATTATTGTGTTAAATGATGACTGAAAATGAGATACAATTCTAAAGAACATTCTCGTTTACTGATATTTTTGTGTGTGTTTTTGATGTTTTTAAGATTATGCAACGCGCCAAAAACATAGGGGGGCTCAGCCCCCCCCCCCCAAGTCAACATGAAATTTTAACAAGGGGTGCTAAGCCCCCCTGAGCCCTCCCTCCACTACACCACTTGGCCTATCTTCTAAGCAAGGAATTTTTTTTTTTTTGCACTATGCCTGGGAAGATTTTTTTTTCTTAATTTTTTTCTGGAAATAATTTCAGCCCTTTTGGTTTTGCCCCCTCCCCCCATAACTTTTCTAATGGTCCGTTCCTTACATGGGAAGAAATAGCAAAACTATTCATTACATGGGAAGAAATAGCAAAACTATTCATTACATGGGAAGAAATAGCAAAACTATTCATTACATGGGAAAAAATAGCAAAACTATTCATTACATGGGAAACTTTTTTTAACAGAAAACTTTTAGGATTTAATCAAACAAGAAGGCGCAAGCGAAGAATGAACTGTTTTAGATGTTCAATTTTTGTCTCAGGTTCTGGAAGCACAACATTGAACAAACACGAACACGGTGATAGAGGATGTTCAGTCAAGAAAGTTGATTTTGCAAATAACATACTTTATGAGTTGGGTGACTGTGGAGCTAGTGGGCTCGAAAAAGTTCATGGTAAGCTTTTTGACAAATTTTTGCTCGCTGCTCTGGTTTACATTAAGCAAATGAAAATAATCCCGAGCAAATTACATTCATTCGACACTTCAATCATCTGGGTGTCTCTTTATATATACTCGATGACGTCACCGCACCACCAGAATGCAAATGTCAAGGCCGGCGAGAGCCAACCACGGGCCCCGGGACAAAATGACGATTGGTGAACACGGGCCCCCTGACCCTCTCGACTCTCCCGCTGGCTATTTTTTAATCACAATCAACGAGAGAATTGCCAGCGAATTACTTGCAAGAAATCGCCGCATAACTGATAAAAACGCAATGTGAACGATGTTCAGCTAACTGTTTTTGCTGAGAAAACGATTGAAAAATCATTTATTTTACATTTGCTACGTTTTACGATCGATGACGACAATCAGTGGATAGTGTGCAAGTAGGCGTATTTCATTTAGGACAAACATATAGCGATGATAAACGATACGCACATTTTCCAGAGATTTCCGGGCCCCTCTGAGCACTCCGGGTCCCGGGTATTTTGCCCCCCTGTTGCTGTGCCTTCGTAAACCCATTAACCATAATGAGCTGAATCAGCTGATCTATCATCTCGCTTATAATTGTTAACGTGAATTTACAAGTATAGCTAGTATAGACTTTATTTACAAGTATAGACTTTATTTTTTCTCTGTATATATATAATATATATATATATATAGATCTCTTTATATTTTTACATTTAAGGTTCCATTATGATATTTGCGTGGGCGTTCCTGGTTGTGATCTCAATTTTTATTGCGCGATATTCCCGTTCGTTGTGGAAAGGCTGGAAAATTTGTGGCAATGATGCTTGGTTCCAGGTATTTATTTGTTTAACTTATTTCATTTGTTGTTTCTTTTGTTTTGTCTGTTGGAGGTGTTTTCCCCAAGTCCACGAGGTGGTTAAATCCGTGAACTCTAGATTGATCGTGACGCTCTGCCAGACTGCTGAGAATTTCAGCTACGCTGTTGAGAGAGTAAGCCGAGATGTTAGCTAGTTTGAAATGGCAATAAAATAACATCTCGATGTTAGTTTGAAATGGCAATACAAATTAAGTTTCTTTCTATTTTTAATTAAATTACATGTAAACTCCTATACCTATTTTTTACATCTTGCTTAGTTCATGAGATATTTTGATTGAAAACAATCAACTGTCAGTGTTGTCCGCCATCTTGGATTGTTTTTTTGTCTCAACGGCATGATTTTTGTGACGTTAAAAGCAGGGTTAGCCATATAAAACTCCCAGCTGACGAAATAGCAATTAGTGGTTATTTGAAGTGTTGTCAGTCAATTCTATTCCCCAACCCTGAATTTGGGGCTCAATTATGACCATTGCATGCATATCTGGTTGACGTAACCTGCATATCCACGATGACGGACAGCTCAATGATTTATGGTGGCTTGGTCAAAATATTTCGAAGAAGCTGTATAAAGTTTTCATTATAAATTTAAAAGGTCTATAGAATGAGACAAATTAAATTTTTATTGCCATATATCCCTTTACAAATAATTTTGGAGGTTACAGACTCAGGAGTCATTTTTTCGGATTTAATTAACATCTTGGACGAGCAAAACAAATGAACTTCTACTCATTGAATGTCATCCTCTCATGTACCTTTTCTAGTTTCACCGCCTGATCATGGGGCTGGCTGTTGTAATGACAATCATAGCGATAATTATTATTTTTGTCGACAAGGAAGGATGGAGTAAGGTATGTTATATATATTTATAATATAGCATTTGTAAATTTTGAACGCTGATTGGCTAAGAGCCGTGTTGATATAACTCAGTATCAACACGGGAAATTTTCCGCCGCTTGTAAACACGGAAATTTTTCTTATCCTTCGGGCTTTTGACATTGCTATATTATAAAAAAAATATAAAAATGTTTTCCGTATTGATATATAGTTATATCAACACTCGTGGAAGTTGGGAAAACTCGAAATTGTATGAAAACACTCTGCACTTCGGGCGTCGTGTTTCCATACAATTTCTCGTTTTCCCAGTTCCACTCGTGTTGATATAACTGTATATCAACACGGAAAATGTTTTATATTTGTTAAACAGTGCGAAATAAACATAGGCTGCTTTGAAAGGTAATTTTTAGGTAAATGTTTCGAAGAAAATTAACTATCATTTTGTCCTGCTTTCCCTACAGGGTGCCGGTGACCATGCAACATTTGGAATTATTGTTTTGGTACTTGCTATTATTCAACCAACTATCGCATTTTTCCGACCACATCCAAATGAACCGAGGTTGGTATTTTTCAGACTAATAACGAATTTAATAAAGTTTGTGATTATATAGAATTGAAAGAACAGCATTAAAGTCTAATGATAAAGATGGCTTCAAATTTCCTAAATCGAAGGCTTCAAATTTCCTAAATCGTTTTTAGTGCTTATATTCGTTTGAGCCATTTGTGATTTTGATTTAAAAATCTCCATAGAGATTGATGTATATCTCCATTTTTTACTGTAGGCGTCCTATATTTAACTGGTTTCATCGTATCATCGCACTTATCCTGGTTATTTTCGTAGGTAAAATTTACTGTACACTAGCTATTGTTTTTTTTTTCATATCAATTCTGACACTGTAGAATGGCGATCTCTATAGATGATAAATTCATCACTGTTCTCCACAGATGTCAGAATTATTACGCACGCAAAAGTTTAAATGATAGATGATAGTTGTGCAGTAACTAAATGAATAAATGCATGTCATTTTATTTAGACTACTTTATGCACACGAGACGGTTCTACATTTTCACACAGTTCTTGATTTCCGAATTGTGCTCTGCCGGTATAGTCTAGAACATTGAAACCTCATTGGACATTCTCGAGACCGAAGCCTCGTTCTCAGACTATTTTCTGTGGACATTCTTAATTCGAAAATGACCTTCGTCCAACCTTCCTCTTGTTTCGTGCATACTGTGCATGCTGGAAGTGAAATCGTAATTGAATGCGGTTGCAAATTCACCCGGTCATGTGTGCATGAACGGACCCTTACGGCCTGTTCATATGCACTCAGCTACCTGGAAACTCACCAGAGTGAGGTCTGCATGCCATTTTTAACGCATATAAAATTAAATTAATTTTGTGTTCATATGAGAAACGTGCCAACCCGGCTATAGGTGAGATTTCATCTCGCATTGCGCTATACTGTAGTATAGGGCGTAAAAAAATACCTGTGGTTCCAGTTTCATATCGTGAAAAAATTAGGGTCGGTAGGTCGGAAATAAATTTTTTTTTTTAATATTTTCATGGCTTTGGCGGGTTTTTGCTGGGCGATTTGCAGTAGAGTCCCGACATCAATATTAACTAGAGATGCGTATTTCCTATGGATGAATTTAGGCAATTTGGTTCAATAATTAGTGTGACAACAGACGCCATTTTGGTACGCTGTATGAGCAGCCCGCAACCACCTGGAGAAAATAGGGTCGCACGGTCAATCGCGTTGAAAAAATAATAGGGTCGGCAGAAAAAAATAGGGTCGGTCGGGAACCGGAACCACAGGTTGTTTTTTTTACGCCTACAATCAGGAGCAAAAATGATTGAGACAACCGCATAAGTGCCCCCCTCACTGTCAGCCATGGGAAAAAATAGTCTGAATTTTATTCATTTTATAATCTTCCAATGTATATATTCATCAATTAATCGTCCTTTCCTAACGAAAAATAACTATAGTTCTCGAGATCCCTATATTCTTTTTACATGAAGTACTCAGTTATAGAAAACCGCTGAGAAAAAATATTATATACACGGCAAAAAACGCTCAGGTTGATGCAATACTGATGAAAACAGGATTGAACAATATTTTGCTGCCCACATTGTTCATAGCTGTCAACAACATTGAACAATATTGTTACACCCGATTCAGGCTCAACAGCATTGTTCAATATTGTTGACAAGTGTGAACAATGTGGGCAGCAAAACATTGTTCAGTCCTGTTGAGCAACGGTCTCGGCGTTTTTTGCCGTGTACACGCGTAAAAATCATCATGTTGATGCAAGTTGTTCAAAACAGGAGCGAACAATGTTGTGCTGCACCCCGTGAACAATATTGTTAACAAGTTGTTGAACCATCAATGTTGTTGCAACTTGTTGACAATCATGTTAACAAGTTGCAACAACATTGATGGTTCGACAACTTGTTAACAATATTGTTCACGGGGTGCAGCACAACATTGTTCGCTACTGTTTTGAACAACGCCGAACAACCTGATCAATTTTTACGCGTGTAGCAAAAGGTTCACTAAGCAAGAAATCCAAGTCAGCGTCTTCCCTGGAGCACTAATTTGAATCAACATCAACGAATTGCGTTTTATTCAAAAGTACAAATAGAGACAATCAGGAGCAAAAATGATTGAGACAACCGCATAAGTGCCCCCCTCACCCCCAATTCAATGTTGTGTGGATGACTGAAAAGAGAAAATTCAACCCACTTTTTCCAACATTGATCATGGGGGCAGGGGGGAGGCCGACGTACTTTAACATGGCCAAAAATGTGAAAAGTCTCATTATTTTTGCACGCGATTGTAGGTATATGCAGCTTTATTCCATGCACATGACCGGGATGGACATTTTTTGGCGATTTTGACCTATAATATACTAGGATTGAACGGCACACTAGAAAATAGACCTAACAGACACGATTAAAGTCGTAATACAAGGTGTAGTACAAGTACAAAAAAATTTCGAAGACACCATGTTTACATAATATTGTTTATGTCGTCCCACCGAGGCGGCCAGGATATTAGGTGGGATAAAAACGTGACAGTCATAATGAACACACTAAATAGTTCATCTCACTTAGGTGAGCTTCCCGGCAAACCTGGCTCATATGAACAAGCCCTTAGTACTTACTGTTTTCAATGAATTGCTGTACATATATATATAGGTACAGTAATTACGTTATATTATAAAACTGAGCGTATATATGCCATAAAGAACCCAGAACTGGAAAGCAATCTTTATCACACAGTACTCTTTGTCAAAATACAGACCAATCGATTTCTTTCAGGCATATGTCGTTATTTAGTTGTTACAGTTTTCAAAGGCATGGCGAACGTCTTGAGATGTCAAAATACTAACCAATCAATTCCCTTCATGTTGTTATTTAGTTGTTACACTGTTCAAAGGCACGGAACTTCTGGAGGATTCTGGTGGTGATACTTCGTCCAACGTCATGATTGCACTTATTGTCATCGCCATCATAACGGCGTTGATTCTGGAATACCTAGCATTCCGTCTCAGGACGACGAAATTACCTGGTTAGTAAAATTCATGCTCCTTGGCCTTGGGTTTCTATTTCAGGAAATATAAATTATAAATGACGTCATCAACTAAACCTCTGAATTTTACTTTCCTGTCATCAGACTTCAATATAATCCTGAAAACTTGTTCTGACAATATATTATAAAACATTTTGTCACTAATAGAGGGCTTGAGCAAGACAACGAAGTACAAAGACGTACTTGACGCGTTTTGCCCGTCTTTGTATTATCTTGCGCATACTGAGTTTGGGGTCAGCGGTGGTTGTTCAACAAAGACAGGTTATGGATTCATGCCTCGCTGTTTATGAATGATGTCCCTAAAGCTATGTTTACACACGACGATTGATCGGACTGATTTCAGGTTTTGTCGAATGTTAATGACGAATGTTGTCAGTTGACGATGTCGTCAGATATGTTGACAGCGTATTTTTCAAATATCGTTTACTAAAAGCTGAATCGGCCTGAATAATCGATCGTTATGTGTAAACGTACCTTAATCCTTACCCTGACCCAGACATGAAGTCTTCGTACTTCTCCCCTATAATAATTATCGGTTTAGCTACGATAAAAAAAATCCGCAATAAGATGCAAAAGTGCGTGTTTTTCAGGACGCCATTTTGCTTGCAAGTGTCATGGCGCGAGCATGACGTGTACATCTAGGGAAATTTGAGGACGCGAAGTCCTAAGTAACACATCTGGGGCCGGTTGTACGAAGGCTGGATAGCGCTATCCACCGGATAGTGATTTTTTCAACCTTTGTAAAATGCTTGAAAAACTGTGAAACTACGGATATAGACGACACAAGAAGTATAAAAACCATTTAACTTATAAATACTAAACTTTAATACGAGTTATACCAATCAACGACTGATTTAACAAAGCTTGAAAAAATCACTATCCGGTGGATAGCGCTATCCGGCCTTCGTACAACCAACCCCTGGTATATACTTCATACAATGTACTTTAATTCCGGAAGCCTATACTGGCATTTTGGAGGGTCTTGCATAGGTATTCTGATCATAGGTATTCTGATCATAGGTATTCTCATCATAGGTATTCTGATCTTTATCGTTTAATTGCTCTATTTAATTGTTTTATTTATTTTTACTGCAATATGTCCATTTTCCCAATAAACGTGTTTAAACTGACCTATTAATGTTCCTTCACATGCACTTTACCAACAACTTAGCGGCTGTTTTAAAGGGGTATGGCAATAAAAATTAACTTTTTCGTATTTGAAAGAACTTTTAAAGTTATATATGAAGACCCTTTACAACTTTTTCGTACCTTGCTTTGTTTTCGAAATATTTTGACCAAAAACAGTGTGCAGTCCGCCATCTTGGCAGTTGGCATTATAATTGACCTAATAGACTGAATTTTTGATGACGTCATAAGCAGGGTAAATTGTTAAAACTTCTTCATGTGGGACGAAATTTCTTCGAAAAGTTTCTCAAAATGTTGTGAGTTAATTGAGTACTAAAAAGACTTCGGAAAATCGAGTTTCATATTGATAATGACATGTTGTTTGCAAGATAAAAATTTCGCTTTTTACCCTACGTGTGACGTATGCATATCGAATGCATATCCAAGATGGCGGAATGCACGCTGCTTTTGATCAAAATAAGTCGATTTATTTCGAAAACCAAGCAAGATACGGAATAATTGTAAACGAAGTTTATATATCATTTTAAATGTTCTTTCAAATAAGACAAATTTAATTTTATATTGCCATATCCCTTTAATTAAGGAAATGCAAAACTGCCAGCTACGTATACTAGATTGGTGTATAGTATATCAGGGTTCCCAGGCGATTTTCGCCGTCCATATAGGGTTGACTATTCCCGGTTGATTCCGATCTGAACATATAATCCAAATATTTCCCCCTACTTCAGAAATGTCGAGGGAAAGCAGGTTCTTGATTCGATAAGATAAATTTGGAGTAGTTTTCTTCGTTTGGATAATATAACACAATCTCCAAAACTACCCTCCACAATTAATTACTGGGATGACGCCCTCAGACCCCAACCCCTCGTAGGGGAGTGGTATCTTCTGTACCACAAAACGCCTCCTACTCTAAATTTTATTGGGAACCATGAGTATATCCGCTACTCTTGCATGCTCTACAAGAAGGCAATTTAAGGTTCAGGTGATAAACTCTTTTCAAATATACATGTGCAGTATTTTTCACAACAGTTTTTTCTATTTCTTCAAGATACGATTGACGACACAACTGGTACCTTGCAGGAAGAAAAACAAGGTGTATCGGGATTGGTTTGGGTATGTAAAAATAGTTAGAAGATATTACACTACTGATTGCAACGGTGGCGAGATCTTTGTTTGATGTTGAATTGTACCTTACCGTGCACAAATCCTTTGTCTCAACGTCATTAAATATTATTTATCGTGGTTGCATGTTTCATCTTAGCTAGCCTATTGGACGATTTCTTTATTGTACGAAAATCACCGTGACCGTGCACAAATTAACATAGACTCAGACAAATACACAGCAGAATGATTTCTGTTTAGTTCCCAGACTATCATGCTTTGATATGACTGTATATTGGCCGTGGTACTCGTGGTAGCATCGTCTCTATAATGGAGTGTCACAAGTTCCCCAACCAAGTGTTAAAGAGATTTAAATCTGAAAACTATTTTCCTATTCTAATTGCTGAGAACGATAAAAAAACGTTCTCTCGATACCGCCATACCAAGCCAACTTTACTGTCTGTTATGATAGAATTATGTAAATAGTTTTTCATATTTTTGTCAATCTACGTTTTAGGAAACCAAGGTGCAACGCATTTTGTTGGTGATGTTCTCACTCCTTGTTTTCATATTGGCCGTGTTTATGATCGCGAACGTGGCAGGGGCTGGGTCCGAAGATGACGATTAGAATAGAAATATTTTAGTCGTACTGAAGTTTTTGCTTGACTATAGTATTTTACCCTGGTTCCAGAGGTTCTTGCACCGTGGTATTAGTATTTATGCACGTAGGATATTATAAAAGTAGGATATGTAGAACTGTCACTATGGTGATGTAGTATAGAAAGTTTAGAACTAGTGAGTATAGTGAGTTTGTCACTTATTCGTACTAAAACATTTATAACCATTCAAGAATGAGCACATGTAATAAATAAGGAAATAATGTAGACCACGTAAGCGAAGTCGCAAATAAGATTTGAAAAGTCAAGTAATAGTAATAAACTGCGTAAAAACTGTGTAAAAATTTCAATTCACAATAATTAACAATTATTCGCCGAAGGCGAGGTGATTATCGGTGAATAAAAACCGAGACGAAGTCGAGGTTTATATTCACGATAATTACCGAGCCTGAGGTGAATAATTGTTTTAGTATAATTTCATAGGTGATTATTTGGAAAAATAATAAGAAAATACACATTTCTTCGTCATTTAATTGACAAAAAGGCTTCGGCCGCCATTTTGAAAATCGCTTAGGTGATTATCGCGTAATAATCATTTCAACGGCAACCAATCAGCGTGGAGAATTTTCAATAATCACCTATGTAATTATACTAATGTCCGATAATGATGAAAACAAGTCCAAGGCAAAATTACAACGGTAAGACTTAAGAGTCTCATTTTTATATTGCACTCTGCAGATTATTTGTATGAGCTACATTAAAGGGCAAGTATAACAGCTAAAAAGTTCCAAAAAGCATCATTGGGAACTGGGAAGTCATTACGAAGACGAATGACAGTGCCAGATGCATCACATGTCCACGCTGCCACCAGTCTGCTAACATCGGAAAGTAAGGCCATATAAAATAAATTCCTTGATTCTCATCACCGCCCGACGATATTTTGGTTTCCGCGTTGATATATTTTTGTATTTTGTTATAAAATATAAATTTACCGCCCGACCGAGCATCTTCAGAGACTTTAGTTATTTTTATATTTTATATTGGAATTTTTGCGATATAAAATTGTTTTATCGTTAATATTGCAACATGTTAAGGGATGCTTGGAATACTGAAGGAAAAAATGGGCTTATAGCCTTATTACACTTATATAGCGTTCTTCTATAATATATTTAAGGGCAAATATAAAAAGACTTCCCTCTCCAATTTTTTAAATTTTAAACTTTTTTTTTATATTTTGACATAAAATATAAAATATAAACCTCCCGCCTCCTGGGAGTTTTTAAAATTTAGCGATGAGAATCAAGGAATTTATTTTATATGGCCTAACGAAGAATGAGCGTGGGAAGTATATGTTACCACTCGCAAAGCGGAACGTCGAAAACGCACAGAACAAGCTAATAACAAACCGCACTTCAAACATAAACCGCATTTCTTTTAAGAAGATTGTGGGGAAGAAAAAGATTTTTCCGTACAATTAGTACTCTTGACTAATTGGCCTGAGTCGCCAAATGTTTTTTGTTCATACTATATGAAGTATCTCCTGCATTGTCGTTCGCTGAATGGAAATTATGTTGGCTCATTGGCTCAAATATGAAAATTTTAAAACCATTTGAAAGTTTGGATTTTGGAATAATATACCAATATACTACAATTTATTTTAATTATATACTGTTTCTGCATGAAAGAAGAATATAGAAGTCCTCCTATCTAACTTACGAAGATCATCTATATATACAGGTATTGCAAAATAATACATCGTTAAAATTTCGAATGAACACTATTAGTAAGGCTGGTTTTCATTTATTAACTTTGCCAGCATAAAATTACGCCAATAACAATTTAAAATTACAACAACAAATTAGTGCATGTGGCTGGATCACCGCAATAGTTTATTGCCATTTACTGCAGGCCCAAATAGTCAGCAACACTCGCCGTTGTCGGTTCTGTTTCAGTATTAACCACCTATCGTAATTCTTCGGCAATTACTATCACAATTAATCAAAAAATTTGTTTTGTTGTGGTAGTCGCAAACACTCTGCAATAATAAAACAAATGAAAACATTATTCGCGAGTTGTTGGCCACAATCAAAATAATTGCCGACGTCATTTGCCAATTTGCTACTTTGCCTTGGCAAGTTAATTTTCTGCTAAGGATCGAACATGATGCAATTACTTCTGCACACCTCAGCAACAACTTTACCCTATGTGCCAGAGCCTCTTGTGATAGAAGTGAGGACACTACGAGGAGGCTCTGGTCACACGAGCATCCAGCCTCACTTTGGTGAGTTCAATATGTGAACTCTGTTTGTGATTGGTCTAAATTTATGTGTAGGGGTGCACCGGATTTGGAATTTTCAAATCCGGCCGGAACCGGATTTGGACAAAAATTCCGGCCGGAATTCCGGCCGGATTTGAGATAAACCGGTAATGGGGACAATTGGGGATAAATCAGTATTCAAAATGACGGTTTATGTTTTTTACTATTTTTAGTTAGTGTCAGTTTAGATTTTTGATTGTGTTTAAACCTTTTTTAAACATCTTTTTGTTAATAACTTAATATTTTATAATAATATAAGTGTTTTTTTTTAAACTTTAAAGCTGCCAAATTGATGGTTCATCCCATTCTTGGTGAATTTTTTAAGGTGAAAACAGAAATTTAAATCTGGCCGGATTTTCTCCAAATCTGGCCGGATGCCGGAAAATTTGTTAAATCCAGCCGGAATTCCGGCCGGATTTGAAATCCGGTGCACCCCTATTTATGTGAGTCTTTTCATTGGTTAACCGATGCTGACCGGTTAACCAATGAGATGAGTCGCATAAATTTAGACCAATCACAAACAGAGTTCAAATATTGAACTCACCAAAGTGAGGCTCGTGCCCAGGATACAACAAGTTCAGCACATTAAGACAATAGACCTTTCCGGTAATTACGTCACAACTACACTGTTTTCAACTTAAAACCACCTTAAATGGAATGGATTTATTTCTCACATGCTATGGTCAGAGGAGCAGAACATTGTTCTTCAGCACATGCATAAAAAGAATTTTAGATTTTGACCAATAAATGTGGAAATAAGCTTAAGTTTAAGGTTATATCCACATTTAATGGTCAAAATCCAAAATTCTTTTTTATGCATGTGTTGATGAAGGATGTTCTGCTTCTCTGACCATGGCCCCTGAAAAACAAACTTAAAATCCATTCCATTTAAGGTGGTCCTAAGTTGAAAACAGTGTTAGTCATGACATAATTCCCGGAAAGGTATTTAAGCCCTGTTTAAACGGATCCAACATTGTTGGGCCAACATCATCCAGCATTGTTGAAATAATGGCCCAAACCACAACGGCTTCTTTTTCAAATATCAAGACTAGGTTTAGAGTTTGAGTAAAGCCAACCTCGTTCCCAGGCTATTTGCTCTTGGGAAGCAAAGACCCTGGTCGGAGCTGGTCACGTGAACCCCCAGATTTTGGGGGTAAATTGAATTTGATCTCAGGGGGGGGTAGGAGAGTAGTCTGTTTGTTGCGTTTGGAAAATTGCAACTTTATGTGTTATAATTTCGGGTGATAAAAATGTAATTTGCAACAAGAGATTGTGAAAGGAACTGTTCTAAATTCGTACCGATCATGACAAGACTTCCTGCTATACTGAATGTCATCAATAATAAGTGTTGCGTTACATTTCAAGCGAGAAGCTGGATCATATTTCACTTGCAAGGAAAACACTCCACACGCGCCTGGCCTGCGAAGTTTAGCACCTATCGCCGTAGAAACATACATATCTTCTACACAGACTGATCGATCAAACGGTATTAAACGAACGATATGGTTCTTTATAGTTGAAGTGTATCCTGTCCGATATTCAAAACAAAAGATTTATTTTATAACGGGATCCTTTGTCTTTGATTTCCCAAACATCGCCAACATGTGTAAACAATATTGCTATTCTGACTGTAAAAGCACAGGATTAAAACCCGTTATGGACTGGCTATAAAATTCATTTCATTTACATTACTGAAACTCAACGATCAAGAAAGATAATGTCGACGTGTAGGCTAGCTATCTGTTATCACACAAACGCCAAGACTCCGTACATGCGTATGGTTTCCGTGCGTGCGGTACAACTTGAATATCTAGGACGATATATGCACCAGACACTGGTATTGTACTTTATATAAATTATTTCATATTTTGTATATACAGTAATTTGCAACATGTATAATATTAGACCTTTCATTGACATTGGCATTGTCCATTGAGGGCTTTATTGAAGAATAATCCAGCTTCTTTAGACTTGTATAATGGATTAATGCCGCTGTGAGTTATCAATATTTAAATCAACTTTAATCTTTATCGTATACTGGAATCGACATTTTAGAAGTTTTAATAGTCTGTTTTACCAAACAATACTGGAGGCAAACAACCTATCTATCAATGGAAACTTTAAAAGGTTTGCTACAGTAAAACTCATTAATATAAGCGAGACTTCGTGTGCATATACAGTTTATGAATTATGTATGTCCCTGTTAAAACGTAGGACACTTTTATACCAGATATAATGAAAAATACTTTGCTAAACCTTTTCGGCTGTCATTCCTTTGCATTTAAGGGGAGAGGGTAAATGGCGATAGAATTTATAGGAGATGCTGTGCAATATTTTGGCTTCAACAAACAGGTACTCGCGCAGACAAAAAAGGAAATTCTTGCAGTTATGAATTGTCGTATGTCAGCTGTGCACTGTCGATTTCCCAAACAATTTTGTACGTTATATTTTGTCTTCCTGGTGTTTAATATAAACGATGATAGCCATTTAAAAAAAAAAATCTAGAGCAATATGTCTATAAACAGTTTTAGAATCAATAGAATGGACATTCACAATGTGTATTTGGCTTGTGTCCAAATGTGTCACGTTTAAGACCGGCAAGGCGCTAATCCTACGACCTATAAACAGTCGCTTTCGAGACATCTGTTTAACAAAATTTATACCATGTCCATATCAGAACAATTCATTGGCATATTATAAGCATATTATAAATATCAGAGCCACAACAGAAACGTATGCGTGAAATAAAACTACGCCCGAACCGGCGAACCCCGAGAAAATAAAAATATTTCAAAGCGTACAGTCATATGTTCTCGTTGCTTGATTTCCTGAATTTTCTGTTGCCATAAGAATCTGCATTTTAGCATGTTTGTATAATTTAAAAGCAAACAGAAACCAATTTAGCTAGTAGTTTGAGGTATATATGATTCTTGAAGATGAATTAATGATTGTACAGAACGGCCACTCCTTGCAATCGAAGTGCGGAAGTGGAAACATGTAATATGAGACTTTTCCACCCCCCTCTTGGGTGAAGGCTATTTCAGATACGGTAGAGCACCTAGTCCCCAGGCCTTTACCAGCGCGGCCGCGAAATTCAATATGGCGCCAAACTAAGGAGTGAAGTTTAAATGGAGCTAATATTCTATATTTTCTATTGTTGTTTTTTTTATCTTTTTATTCTTTTTGGTTGGTAGAACTTATATTCTGAAATGCCAGGTATCTTACTCTTTATCTGATTAATCTGAAAAAAGATTTTATGACAGAATTTTTCTCAAACATTAATTATTTAATATAAAAGACTAAAAGTTTATGATGTATATTAATATCTATATGTTTCAGTGAATTATGCTTTAAAAGTCAAAAATAGATTGGCCAAGATAAGAAATTTTTGACACTGAACTTTTGTTAATTATAGTTTCAACTTCAATTTTGAAAATTGTAATAACAGCCTAGTTTATATTCCATAATCCACAGAGCTTGAACATCCATGCGGAATGTACAAATTATTGACTTTTCGAGTGAAGTTCTGTTTGAATTTTTCAGGTACTAAGTTCTATCTGTCGAAATCTGCAGTTATCTTGTTATCGTCTCTATCTAGCCTGGCACAGACCGTTCAAGATTGCACTGTTTAATTAGCACCAACACTAACAATCATGGTGGCAGGGATGGATCCAGCATGATCTGGTAGGGGGGGAGGGGGGTTTGATCTGCCAGCTCTAATGCCGAGTTATGTTTGTCATGCATGCCACCCGCCCATCAACTTACAAGTCAAGTCTTGCTTGACTACTGTATTTGAATTGTAATTGTTGTTCACAGTTCGCTTCTTATCATGTTATCGATATCACTCAAATTACTGTATCTCATTTTGTCTCTAAAATATTTTTTTGCTTTATCATGAAAAATAGCACTCCCCTTGACCAGGGCTAGGGGGGTGCACCCCCCTCCCCAGTAAATCCAGCCCAGCATACAGTTGGGTTTAGAGGGGGAGGGGAGGGGGTTGACAGAGGTACACACCCTTGGCCAATAGGGGAGTGTAAAAATCAAAAGGGGGGCCTTATTGAATTAAAAAAAATCTGGGCAGGATGTTACAAGGCCATCGGAAGTAAATCAATATTGGGGGGACTCAAGAATATATCTGAATAAATTTTAATTGCTTTTGCACTTTTCTAGTTATTTTGTGTGTTTTGCTTATACAAATGGAAATTTTAGGGGGGCTCAAGTGACATTGCCAGCTGCCATTAATAGTTTGCAGAATTGTGAAAAATAAATCAATGCTGTAGATTGCAAGTGGTAATGCACTTTCTCCATTGGTATTATAGACATAATACACATAAAATTCCACAAGACCAATTAACTTGGTAATCCTGAGTATTCCATACTCATTGGGAAATCAGTCAGATGCAATTGTACCCACCCTCTGGTCAACCCTTGCCACTAGACGTTTCTGTACCTTTGCCCTGCATATCATGGTTTATGAACTCAACATTTTATGATTGAATTAGCTCTTCTACTATGATATTTTATGCTCAAGTAAATAGAAAGTAGTACAGCAAGCCGGCTGGAATAATGGTCAGATGTTCACTCCTCAGTGGCATAACTCCTAAGGGCTGTGCCTAGCAAGAGCCAGGGGCCCAGGGGGTGTGCCTTGTCAAGGAAGGTCCCTGGGCTAACCTTTATGCAGTGTTTGGAAATTTTAATTTAAATAATTAATTTAATTAATAAATTAAATTAATAATTAATTAATTAAATTAATAATAATTATTATAAATAAATTAATAATAAATAATAATAATTATTAATTAATATTATTTAATTATTTATTTAATTAATTAATATTTTTATTTTTTTTTTTTACTTAAGCTCTCCCTGTTAACACTTTGAACAGTAGGTCAAGGTAGGGCCGGAGATATGGGGGGGGGGGTGACACCCCCAGAAATTTTATTCAGTTGGCAGGACTGCTATTTGGGTTAAATATTTTCGTGGCAAAGGTCTCTTTATTTGGGTTTTTTGGGTAAATTTCCGAATTTTGGTATGAAAAATTGAGGTAAAGTCGCTGGAAAGCATTTGCAACGTTCTCGTCCGGAAAATTTTTTTCCCTAAAAAGTTGTCGACGGGTGGGGAGGGGGGGAGGCTGTTGGTCTCTGAAAAAAAAATTCTCGTCTGGGCTCCTGTCAACCTCTCGGCGGCCCTGTTTGTCAGTCGGTTGAAATGACTTTACACGCCCCTGAAGAATTCCCTGAGGACAGCCCTGGGTCAAGGGGGCCCTTCACAGGGAGCACTGAGACTTCATCCTTAAATACCCATAATTAAGATTCTGGGAAATGAGTACCCCATACAGGGCTGCAAATAAATATTTGACTTGACAGGACATTTGTCCGATCACTTTTAATTTTGGTCGGACATAACTTGAATTTGGTCGGACAAAAACCAACATCTCTACATTTGATCGGACATATATACGTCACAAGATATAATATAAGTCACGAGACAAGTATGTATAGCCATTCTGGCACAACGTTAAGTAAAATGCTAGAATGCCTGGTAAATTTTATTGCAAAATGCAAATTGAGTGAATTTGCAATCGGATTTTAATTGTCACAGCAAAAAAAAAATGCATAATGTAGAATTTTTTTTGTGATCGGACCAATGTCCGATCAAAATTACTTTTGCTCGGAGATTCGCCAAATTTAGTCGGACATTGTCCGATGTCCGACAGTAATTTGCAGTCCTGCCATATGCCCCTAGTGTCTAATAGAATGTGAATTTCAAGTTGTAAAATAAATGGAAAGTGCTATTTTTGTAGGGTATATCCTTGACCCAAAAAATAGATTGATTATGTGATCAGCTTTAACTTCTTAAAAACAACTTAAAATCTAACTTTACCTAGAAATAGTTAAATACTTTGCATTCTATGGAATACAAAGCTTATTTGTAGCTTACTGTTTGCAATGAGTAAAATTAATAAATTGTATTATGTAATGTAATCTTCAAAAATTATGAAGGGCCTTAGAACTCCTCTCCCAACTAAAGAAACACATTAAGGGGATGGCTTAGTTCAAATTACACCCTACTGTTAATGACAGGGATGGATTTACTGGGGGGTGGGGGTGCACCCCCCTAGCCCTGGCCAGAGGGGGGGATGCTATTTTTCATGATAAAGCAAAAAATTATTAGAGGCACAATAAGATACAGTAATTTGAGTAATAACATGATGATAAGCGAACTGTGAACAACAATTACAATTCAAATACAGTAGTCAAGCAAGATTTTGCAGTAGTGAAGCAGGTAGATGGGTGGGCAGCACACATGACCGACACAACTCGGCACCAGAGCTGGTAGAGCACCCCCCCCCCTACCAGATCATGCTGGATCCATCCCTGGTTAATGACAAACATGAGATTGATCATAAAGTTTGTCTCCACTATGTGTTCTTTTATGTCTTGTTGAAGTACTTGAATATCTGAATTCTTTACAGATATGATATTCATATAAGGTTTTACTCTATTATGTGTTCTTTTATGCGACAATAACTAAATTATAATTGTTTTTGTTTGTGGAAACACCACGTAAATTTATTACTGCAAAGCTTTCGATCCGTAAGCCCGGATCTTCATCAGTGCTAATAATATGTTTGTGGTGTTTCCACAAACAAAAACAATTATATTTTATCACCATGCAAACATTCAAAGAACTTAATAACTAAATTGTTTGATGTTGGATAATGTTTGTTACACATCTAAGCAAGCCTCTTATACAGGATGTGCTTGTCTGTATCATGATTTGTTGCAGTGTACGTTGTTTAAACAAATTTGCCCATGTTAATTGGTATGTTTGCCAGAATCATAATATTTTTTCACAATGTGAACATGGCATTCTCACATTCATAAGGTAATTGTGAATGTGGTGGTCAAAATGGAAGCAATATTGTTCCACCATTCAGTTATAGCACTTTACTTTTTATAATTTATATCAATTATATGATAAAATATCGTACGTCTGGCAGTTTAACTTTTTAAAACTGCTAATAATCAACCTATTAGAATGCTGTCAATGCATTGTGACTACATTGGCATGTATTATCCTGCTTAAATAATATCATCTTCATCAAGCCAAGTAATTATTTAATCGTAGCTTGCCAACTTGAGTAAAATAGTCTAAATTGATTTAATTGTTAAATGAACAACTCAGTAGATAAGACATTAACTTTAACTATGTACATTAAGTACATTAACTTTAACTATGTACATTAAGTACATTAACTTTAACTATGTTTGAGAAAAATTCTGTCATAAAATCTTTTTTCAGATAAAGAGTAAGATACCTGGCATTTCAGAATATAAGTTCTACCAACCAAAAAGAATAAAAAGATCCAAAAACAACAATAGAAATTATAGAATATAAACTCCGTTTAAATTCCACTCCTTAGCTTGGCGCCATATTGAATTTCGCTGTCGCGCTGGTAAAGGCCTGGGGACTAGGTGCTCTACCGTATCTGAAATAGCCTTCACCTGAAAACACGGTCTCGCTGCTTCCTAGCTCTGTATAATGAATATACCGTCGGCACTTAATAGAATGCCCGTAATGCAAAAAATCAATTTATATATTGCGTAGAATCTCAAAGATTTTCTCAATATTCATGCCTGAAATGTTCATACATTTCAAAAGACAAAACAACACTGTCTCGCTGCTTCCTAGCTTTGTATATTGAAATTGAATATACCGTCAAAATAATATCGGTACTTAATTGAATGCCCATAATGCATAAGTCATAACATCAATTTATATATTGCGTAGATTCTCAAAGATTTACTCGATATTCACGTCTATAAAAATGTTTATAATTTGAAAACAACACTGTTCGGCAGTGTCGCTCCTTCCTAGCATCGTCATTCGTCACGCCATCGTGATCTACAGCTTGATAGCACATGCGCATTTGCGCTGCTAAAGAAAGATTGGGTGTTCCGGGGGAAAGATCTTTCACACAACACGGAGAAGCAAATGTTATAAAATTGACAAAAATTTGCAATAACAACAATTCCTGGAAATTTTTGTGAACTTGGCAAAAGGACAAAATAAGTATTTAAATAAGACAACTGAAATTGCCTAAATAACCTTCAAAGCATTGACTAAGTAGAATAAATCACCACGACGATAAATCGTATACACCCCCCGGATAGTTTACTCTATGATATCTGATGTATGACAATGTGAATTTTCGCCACTCATCACAATAGTGCACAGTTTCAAAGAAACTCTGCACTAAAAATGGCTTTTGAGCATTCTGATTGGCTCCCTCAGCAGTAACTCGGAGACAATAGTTTCTGCTCAGACTGCTCTGAGCAGTAACTATTGCTTTTCAAAAAAAAAGGCTGAAAAATCAGACGGAAGTAAATAATTTATGCAAATTATATTCATAAAATAAACACGTGTATTAGTTGTATTTATAAATAAAACTTTTTCAATTACACTGAAATTATACTGAAACAACTAGTCGCCTCAGACTCAGCGATTACAAGCCTATATTCACTTCGCCTTCGGCTCAGTGAATATAGGCTTGTAATCACCTCCCCTTCGGCGACATGACAATATTCGTATTTGGGAGGCTAAATTTCTAAAAATTCCTTCTTCCTTCCTATTCATTTAATTATCCACGTTTATTTACATACCTTGCTCAACAGACCACAGTCTACCATCTTCAATTCAACTTCATCCTGAGTCAAACCTAGCTGAGTAAGTTCTGTTTCTTTTTGTTGATAGATGTCAAATTTACTGTAGTCACTCAAAGTCATAACACCACTTGCTTCCTCTTGAGAAGCTTCGTATAAAATAGGTTCTGAGAACACTTTTCGCTTTTTCGAAGCTCTGAAAAACACACATTTTTGTTGAGATATAAATATCTCAAAAATAAACGAAATACCGAACAGGCGTACCATCGAAGGGACAATTTATTATCGGTAATCCAGCGCAATAATGAACAGACGTTACCATCAAAGGAAATTTTATTGTGTTCCGCCACACGTTTACACTTAATCCCCGTTTACACTGTACCGCGGATTCGCTGGTCACGACATCAGTTTTAACAGTCAATGAAATAGCCTAAACATTTGTAATGGTAGTAAGAAGCAGAAACATGCTGACGTTATCGAAAGAGTAAACCTTTGTTGTTAAACGTTGCTCCTGGGCAGCAAAAAAAGATGTCGTGACCAGCGAATCCAGGACAGTGTATTAAACGGGGCCTTGAAAGGGCCCATTAGGCCGTTTACTGTGACCTCGAAAAGTGCCTAGAAAACGATTTTCATTTCGCATGTCTTGAAACTGAAATATTTTTACGGGAATTAACACTTTCGAATTACACGCTGAGTTCAAATCCGAAAAGTTCCCGCTCATAAGACCCGCAGTTTTCTCACATTAATTAGTATGCAGTAATTAGTATGCAGATGACGTCCGTCAGCAACTATTTGTCGCATAATATCGCGCGACATGAATTATTGCACAACATTTTTCGCGCGACATGAATTGTCGCACGACATGTGTCGCGCGGCATGAATTGTCGCACACGCCAAAATTGGTTAGTATGCAGAGTGAAAATGACGTCATTTTATCTGGCGATGACTTTGTCCGGTACGTAGACCTTTTAGGGACATAAAATCCTCCAAAGACGTTTTTTTTGTTTGTTTTTTTGTTTGTTTTTTAAATTTTCGCCCAAAATTTAACATTTAACAACATACATTATTTACAAATTTTTTAGGGCTAGGAACCTACTAGAAACCATAAGGCTTTTTTTAAGGTCCCTAGATACAAATTCAAATTAAATAACTATAACATATATAAGGTGCCAGTTCGAGTGTTTTTCATTGTAGTAAGGATAGGGAAAAAAAGGAGAATAGTAACAAGTAGGCTACTAAGATATAATGATAAGCTATGTTTAAAATTTTACAATAGAAATGGAGAAAAGTAAGTATGTTAACAAAGAATAATATAGTATATATACAAATAGTTAATTTACAGCTAGTAAAAATGATGTTAATTTGTTGTTTTTAAATGCAGATAGAAATTTTTCATTGTTTTCTTGAAAGACCCATACGATCTATTTTCTTTATATTTCGAAGGAAGATTATTCCATATATCAATTCCCTTATTAGTTAGAGTATATGTTTTGTATAATTTGTTCTGCCACACTTTTTGTGTAATAATGATGAGTTTCGTGTATTGTAGTTATGGATTTCCTTATTGGTAGAAAAATAATTTGTGAATGTTTCTGGTAAATTTTGAAGATTGAAATGTCTGAACATAAAAATACTTGTTAAATAATAATTTATTTTATATATGTTAAGTATTTGCAAGTGTGGTTAGTATAATTCTTAAAAGTCATTAATCTTACAATTTTTTTTTGAATGTTCATTAACTTTGAAATACGAGATTTGTACGTATTACCCCAGATGAGGTTACCATAGATTAGATATGGATAGACCAATGCGTAGTAAATGAGTTTTAGAGAATTTAAGTTTGTAAAATGCCGAATTCTGGAAATAATAGCTGCACATCTGATCATTTTCTTTGCTATTAAATCTAGATGATAACACCATGTTAAAAATTCATCAATAACAATTCCCAAAAATGTGATACTCTTGGCTTGTTTTATGGCCTCATTATTTAAAGAAATTTTAACATTGTGTTTAGATTTTTTATTTTTTGATCTAAAAAGAACAAATTTGGTTTTTGTAATATTGATAGAAAGTTTGTTGACACTTAGCCAGTCAGAAATTTTGTTAATTTCAATTTGAATAATTTCATTTAAAGTTTTAAGACAAGAGTGACTATAAAGTATATTTGTGTCATCCGCGAATAATATAATTGAAATTAGTTCACTGCAACTTTGTATATAATTTATATATAAAAGAAATAATAAAGGACCTAATACTGACCCCTGAGGAACCCCACTTTTGATAGTCATTTCGTCAGACTGTATCCCATTATATTTTACAATTTGTTTTCTATTCTGTTTTCTATAGGGTTTGATCCGTCGACCTAGGCATATCGTGCGCGTATTACTCTGCAGTCCCTCGCTCTACCAACTGAGCTATCTGAGGTGTACAGTTTTTTTGTTAAAGTATTTGTTTTGTTTGACAAATATATTTACTCGGCCGTTTGTTTCTATATCGTGCACTGTTCAAAAGGGCGAAAAGGGGGTATGGCGAAATCGTACTGATTTTAGAGCGAAATATTGTTGCTAGGATACTGTTTTGCTTGCACAAATTAGGATTGAGTACGCATTTTTCGCATTTTGCTCATGCGTCTTCGCATTAAGGCCCGATTAGGCCCGATAGAACTCAATGGGTTAATCAGAATCTGCCCATGCACTATGTTAACCCTTTACGTGGCAATGTACTTTATTATTTTATCCTGTCTAACGCCAGGGGGAGAGTGCTGCCACTCAATGGGTTAACAGACACGGATTAACGTTTTGTACAATTTATTTGTGTTTAAAAAGTCGATGTGAGGTCGATGTAGGGTCCATGTGAGGTCGATGTAGGGTCAAGGTGAGGTGAGGTCGATGTAGGGTCGATGAGAGGTCGATGTAGGGTCGATGAGAAAGAACAGATGCACGAATTGTCTTCTCCTGATTTTTGGTTTATATCAAAGGCCAAAAAGGCCACCGGAATATGTCAGCCCAGCTGACTGTTAATCTTTGATGATAAAACCAGAGTAAATGCGAGAAATGCGCATGCGTATACTCTCTCAATGGCGATCAAACTAGTTCACCTGTATGGTCTCACAAGCAAACCATGCATATATCGATTATATAAGTAGCCACTCTTTGCTCTCTTTATGGTTTCTAACCAGTGTGATCGATGTCTGAAACGGTTTTCGTTATTAATGTCAGGCGGCATAAGGCGAACCATTGCGCATACGCAAACATTGACGATAACGGCTCGATGGAAGAAGAAATAGGTACTCAGATGAACAAAGTGTGGACATAGATTAAGAATGAATAGATGGCTCACTCGTTTGATGTTTTTGACGCTGCCGGCACCCACGCATGTTCTTGCCAGAGTAATGGCGGCCTAGCAAGAACTATAATAAAATGTATTGTGAGATTGACATCCGTGCTACTAAATCCTGTATTTTTCCGTTTTCGGGGGTTTGAAAGGAAAAATAAATCAGAATTATAAAAATACAGGATTTAGTAGTACCGATGTCAATTTCACAAAGCATTTTACTACAGTTACTTGCTAGGCCGCCACTACTCTGGCAAGAACATGCGTGGGTGCCGGCAGCGTCAAAAACATCAAAGGAGTGAGCCATCTATTCATTTCTTAATCTATGGTGTGCACTCTTTTCCAGACGAAGAAAGTGTTACGGAAACTGAGGAAGATGAAAACAGTGAGAATTCCGAAGATGATGGTGAAATAAAGGAAGAGATTGATCCTTGGACAACCATGATTGACGATGCAAAAGCGACGGTTCGACCAGAGTATGATGAATTCATGAAAACGTTGCAAATGGATGGGCGAGAAGAAAGTGCAGCTAAGCAGGAAGCCTTTGAAAACATTCTCCCTGAACTTCAGAAAGAATTCGCTGACGTTTACGTGGATAATTTACGATGGATGAAAGCACTTAAAAAGGATCCCGTGCATAGAAAGATTATGAAAACGAAGGAGACATTTGTGAACGAAGACTCGTTTGATCCTGATGAAGCTTTATCTGCAGCGGTTGATAAAAGAAAGTTTCTGTTGAAACAGCTTTTAGAAGATCAAGGACGTTTTTCAGGTAGTGATGAGGATCAATGAATCGATGTAATGCATATGTGAAATAAATATTTATCAAAACTGTATTGTGCAACAATAAGTCCTTGTAGAAAAATGCACGTTAGAATTAAGCCATACCTTCTATCAGGCCTAATTGGGCCTTAATGCGAAGAATGCGAAGCAAAATGCGAAGAATGCGAAGCAAAATGCGAAAACGCATTCGCATTTTGCTTCGCATTTTGAGTCCACACTTTGTTCATCTGAGTAGCTACTTCCTCTTTCTTCTTCCATCGAGCCATTATCGTCAATGTTTGCGTATGCGCAATGGTTCGCCTTATGCCGCCTGACATTATAATAGGACGAAAACCGTTTCAGACATCGATCACACTGGTTAGAAACCATAGTCCACTTATTCGCTCTCAAGAAATGAAAAAGAGAGCTAAGAGTGGCTACTTATATAATCGATATATACATGGTTTGCTTGTGGGACCATACAGGTGAACTAGTTTGATCGCCATTGAGAGAGTACGCATGCGCATTTCTCGCATTTACTGCCATATTCCGGTGGCCTTTTTGGCCTTTGAAATAAACCAAAAATCAGGAGAAGACAATTCGTGCATCTGTTCTTTCTCATCGACCCTACATCGACCTCTCATCGACCCTACATCGACCTCACCTCACCTTGACCTTACATCGACCTCACATGGACCCTACATCGACCTCACATCGACTTTTTAAACACAAATAAATTGTACAAAACGTTAATCCGTGTCTGTTAACCCATTGAGTGGCAGCACTCTCCCCCTGGCGTTAGACAGGATAAAATAATAAAGTACATTGCCACGTAAAGGGTTAACATAGTGCATGGGCAGATTCTGATTAACCCATTGAGTTCTATCGGGCCTAATCGGGCCTTAATGCGAAGACGCATGAGCAAAATGCGAAAAATGCGTACTCAATCCTAATTTGTGCAAGCAAAACAGTATCCTAGCAACAATATTTCGCTCTAAAATCAGTACGATTTCGCCATACCCCCAGCCTAGTCCCAGGCTTTCTCTTTATTCACTGTTTTGATATATTTAAATAAGTCAAGTTTTATGCCTGGGTGTGCTGTGCCGAACGCTTCAGCGAGAGAGCCTAGCAGATTTCGGTAAAATGGCTCCTGATTTCAAAAAAGTGGTCCCTGGCCTGGTTACCAAGCATACCGCATTTGTAAATAGAAAATGTTATGGAAATTTCCTTTGCGTTTATAATTAAGTCATTAGTTTTGCTCTAATGCTTTCGAAACAATGAAATAGGCTACGTTTCGCTAAATGAAATAGGCTACGTTTCGCTTTCGGTTAAATATGACTCGGTTTACTAAAATATAATGCCATATTAAATGCTATCTAGAAGCTTGAGAATTATGCCGAGTCTCCGACTAAAAATGTTTTGACAACACAGTCATGTCAGGCAAATATTTCCAATCTCCTCAGCTACTTAAACCTGTCAAGTAGAAAGCATAGTTGTGTATACCAGTATGGTCTAGTGTTGATCACAACTTGCGAGTATATAAATAACATCAACGATTATGCGGCCATTGCTCAGACTCAGTATCGTAAATTTGTATATAATTTTTTTAATTGAGCACATTTATAATACAGTTTGAATTTGGTTATGTAGACATCGAACATGATCAACGAACATTGTCGTATTTACATTGTATATATAAATTTTCCGCCATTAAAAATACTGAAATCTGCTAGGCGTTCTGAAGCACCTTTAGCGGTGACGTCACACCTAGGTCCCAGTCTCGTACTACATCCACGTTTTTTTCTCGCGCTTGCTTCAGAACGACTGGGACTAGGCTGGCCATACCCCTTTTTCCCCCTTTTGAATAGTGCACGATATAGAAACAAACGGCCGAGTAAATATATTTGTCAAACAAAAAAAAAACTGTACACCTCAGATAGCTCAGTTGGTAGAGCGAGGGACTGCAGAGTAATACGCACGATATCCCTAGGTCGACGGATCAAAACCGTCTCGGAGGATTTTACGTCCCTAAAAGGTCTACGTACCGGACAAAGTCATCGCCAGATAAAATGACGTCACTTTCACTCTGCAAACTAACCACTTCTGGCGTATGCGACAATTCATGCCGCGCGACACATGTCGTGCGACAATTCATGTCGCGCGATAAATGTTATTGCACATGTCGCGCGATGTTATGCGACAAATAGTTGCTGACGTCATCTGCATATTAATTACTTCCGACCCTGTATGTCCATGTTTAACTACACATAACTCAAAATGATTCGAGTAAAACGGTCTTTTGTTAAAAGGAAGACTGGTTAGTAGAAATTAGTCCTTTTGAGTGACATAATCGTTTGTCGTTATCGATCCGCGTCGTTGAGCAATGAAAAAATTTGTCGTGAAATTAGTGGGTCTATACGCGGAGCGGGAACGTTTCGGATTTGAACTCAGTGTGCTTGAAAGTGTTAAGTTCCCGGCCTACTTTCTCGATGTACGAACAACCGAAATATCCAAACCATTACTGGATATATATCTCATCAACTTCCTTACCCTGGGTTAGGCTTAGGCTTAGTCTTCTTTAGTCTTCCCTAGCTTTCCTCAACCTTCCTTAGCCTTCCTTAGCTTTCCCTGGCCTTCCTTAGCATTCCTCAACCTTCCGTATAGCCTTCATTGGCTTTCCTTAGCCTTTATCAACCTTTCTTAGCCTTCATCAACCTTCTTTAGCTTTCTTCAACCTTCCTTATCCTTCCTCAAGCTTCCTTAACCTTCCTTGGCTGTCTATGGTAAGAACGTATATGTTTCGAACAAAAACGCGGTGTGAGCGTTAACTCATCCCATACCTAGCTTAATAACCTGGCATGTAGGGCCTACTGTATGATTGCAAGGTGAAATATTTATAATGCTTCGGGGTTTAAGCATGATTCCTGGGCTTATCGCCTCGTTTCAGCAGTTTGTTAGCCATGCTTGGTGAAACATCATAGAAAAATAATGAACATATTATTTACCTTTTGGGTCAGTCCGTATATACAAAAAATATTTTTCCTCGGCTTCAGAAGCGTCCTTCCGCCTTCGGTCCGCTTCTGAGACCTCAGGAATTTGTTTTCAGTATTCGGACCTCCCTGCAGCCAGTAAATAACATATATGTATTGTAAATTATTTGCACTGATGACGGTCCGGCTTACAAATCGAAAGCTTTTCCAAAAACTCTTGCACCAAAGAAACTGAACTAACTGAACAACTATTCATCTCACGTCTTGCACAAAAGGAAATCTCACCCGTGAAAGGTAACGTTTGTATCGAGCTGTGTCTTCAGCATTTCTTCCAAATGATCCTCAGCCTCCGACCTCGTCCCCTTACCAGGTAAACCAAGTTGTTGGTTTTCATATGGAACTTCTGTGTTCGGCACCATACGCATAACTGAACGATTTTGATATCGGCGTGGATTTCCACTAATAATTCACATGAAAAATACAGTAGTATGTATTCCCAAAAATTTTATATTTTAAGGATTTCTCAACAAAGTTTGGATCGGCTTTGAAAAACTAACTTGTGCATGCTTTTCTCCAATTCCACTTCCTCACTAATTTGCTGAATGATACATCATATCACATTGAAATATGGCTTCAACAATAAACAGTAAATTATATTACGCGATGTTTGCCACATGCACACATTGCTGTTGTGAAACAAAGTCGAAGTATTTAGTGTAATATTGGCCTGCATGGTTTGAGTAACTGCTATACCTGTCACGTTTTAGGAAGAGTTATTATTTTTTAGACTTTTGTAATTTTGTAAATTAATTCTTTTGTATTTTAAACTTAACCCTTAAATCCTAACTTTAAACCTTACTAATCCTAACCCTAAACCTAATCCTTACTCTAATCCTAATCCCAACCCTAATCTTAATCCTTAAACCCTTTCCCTGATCCAAACCCTAATCCTAAAAGTCTAAAAATAGTAACTGTTCCTAAATCATGACTCATATGGTAACTGCAACTCATCCTGCATTTTTTTTTTGTTTATTCCCCATTAAGCATTTTTATATGGACAATTAAATATAGATAGTACAAACTAACCTTATATACAAAAATGATGGCAGTAACTTAAACCAAGCCAATATTAAACCAAATACTTCGTTCTGCAACTACAGCAATGATTTCAAACATTGCATAATATAATTTACTTTTTTACTGTTAATTAAAGTCATATTTCAACGTGATATACAAATCAGTAGAATAAATCATGTCAATGACTTCTGGCCATGTTCAAACCTCAAACTGCAGTTTGAGGTTAGATGTCAGAGGTAATAAACTTTGTGATTATAAGTACAAACTCTGATATCTCGATGAGTAACTATATGATAATCTTGATGAGTAAATATACTTTATTACACATTATTATATAAAGTATAGTGCTTTATAGAGATTTCGAGCACTGATAAAAGTGATAATCTCACATGTGAGATTATTCATGATAATCTCACATGTGAAAATGATCACTTTTCAAATATCGGTTTTCTGTACAAATTATCGCTTTTCAAAGACTGTCCTTTATATAATAAACAGAAAAATACATGGGTGCTTGGAAATACCAGATTTATTTCTTGTGTTGAACATGATATCTCACTATAGAGATATCATGTTCAACACTCGAAATAAATCTGGTATTTCCAAGCACCCATGCATGTATTATTCTCTATGTAATTTACCGATAATCGGTATTGTCGCCCTCTCTTCTCCCGCCCGCACTACATGGGTCGATTTAATACCTTATATCGGTAGATAACTGGATCGGTAAAATTATCTGTATTTTCTGATTTTGTAAAACTGATTGTTGTGAAAATACACACTTCAAAAATTATACACATTGAGCATTGATATGTGCTGCATTACTGCATATACAAACTCTCAACCTGAATCCACCTTTTCACGCCAGATTGAAAATCAAATGTTTAATCTCTTGTGCAAACCGTAGCATGTTGATGGTAGGAGTGAAGCAAACCGTTGCCGTGATGAAATAATGTGAAGCATGCCATTTATAAATGGTTTTAACAAACTTTGGTTGTATAGTAACATGTAATGTTACATTGGAAATTACCATTAGAGAATCGAAATGAATCGAAACGCAGTGCAACATGAAGCTAAGACAATATTTTGATACTCTAGATAAACAAAATATTTTTGAGAAAATCCTGCATGAGGGGTTAATCAGGTTGAAAACCTGAAAATTTGCTGCAAATTCGACCACCAGAATCTACAGTTATGCGAGTGCTAGACAAGTGTTTGTCTTAATATTTCTCTTTTTTCTGGAGTTGATAAATTGTCGGAACCAAAACTAATGGATACCAGGTATATAATGGACCCCCATACAACAAACAGTAAGTTCATGCCCTGATTGTCTTTAACTGACTGAGATACTTACCATGGGATACCTGTGGCTTCATATGATGAAGGATCTGGCTTGAACGTCCTTCCACTGACTATAAGCAAATAACAATATATACTGTACCATATAATTATGTTGTATGTCAGCTCCTAAAGATCACATTGATTCAGTTTGGTTAACACTTAACAGTTTAACCCATTAAGCTACGATTCACCCTACTTTAGTATTTTACTCTAACTTACTCTTTGGTGGATATATAACTGATAAAAGTAGGTACGCATTGCGTACATGTGGTTAGCCTATAGGATTGGCAATTGTTAATTGTTATAGCGTCATATAGCTGATTTCGTTCAATATAATGAACGAAATATCTTGGTTGATTTTTCAACCATTGAACCATAAAATTTTTATTCTTCATTCTTTGTCATATGAAGCCAAATACCATATAACATAGCCATAATACAGAAACCTTTTTAAAAACAAACTAGAAAATATTAAATTAACTCTACTATTTCGTTGTAAACAGCTAAAATAAAATTTTAAAACCTTTTCTCGGTCAGTCCCATGCAGTGCTCTCACAATCAAATTTTCGAATTCCTTAGAAAAAGCTCGAAAATTCCTCAGATTTCCTTAAAATTCCTTAAATTGATAAAATTACTACAAGGCCTGATCACAGAGTTGCAAAAAGTGTTTTTTTTCCACCTGATTTACCTGAATTTTTCGAACTGAACGTTCTTTAAAACCGTATTTTTTGAAAATTTGAAGTTTCTAGACCGTCGGAAATGGCATTTTTAGAGTCTTTCCTACCCAATATTTTAGTATTGCCTGACAATGAAGATAAGTATTGCTGCTTTCAGTTTATAATGGGAAATTGAGAAAATTTTGGAAATTTGGAGTCTCCAGATCGTCAGAAAGGGTATTTCGCAATTGTCTCCCTGCCACAACACGTCTCAACGTCTTTAGTTTGTTTGATTGTTAACTCCAATTCAGATTAGAGAGTTCACTTTTTTATGCCCTGACTGAATTACCTGAATTTACCTGAAAATCTACAGGATATCTACCTGAAATTGTTCATGAGCAATATTAGGGGTGTTGCACCCTCTCCCCTCCCCCGGTCATTAGGGCCCTGAGAACTTAGAAAATCTGCAGATTTCAGAAGAAACAGCATACACTGACATTTAACTTTTGAGAATTTTAATGGAAGACAGCCATATGTACATTTACGACATAGAGAACATACGAATATATGTAATTATGTGCATATAATGTTGCTACTTTCAAGTTTAAATCTCATTTGCGTGGCGTGGTTATTCTCCGTCCAAGCGTTTTTAGTCCAGGATAAAATGTTTTGGAAATTCCTTAAAAAAATCCTCAAAAACCTAAATTCCTTAAAAAAATCCTTAAAACTCTTCAAAATTCCTATTTTTAAGGATAATTCCTTAAAAGTGAGAGCACTGGTCCCATGCCCAAGCATCGTAGGTCGCTAAAAGCTGCCAACCTTTAAGGTCCAGACACACCGGGTGCGATTCGACAACGTGACGCGATTTTTTAGTTTTTGAAAGTTAATACAACAGCCAATGAGAGCAAATCTTAAAAGACATGTAGACCAAATAACGCAAAATGTTATAACGCTTCTAAATACTTGGAAAATTTAAATTAGGATTAAAGTTATCAGTCATTGAAAATCGAAAAATCGCGTCGTGTTGTCAAATCACATCCAGGGTGTCTGGACCTTTAGATGTTCATATCTTGAGTTTAGTGCATGCTATGAACACAATAATACCACCATTTGATTAAGTGAAAAAATCAAATAGTTCCTTACAATAGCTTTAGTCATTATCAACATTGTAGCAATTTATTGCTTCTGAATTCTAAAAGGCAAGCGAGATCGCACCTTTCACTGAACATATAACTTCGGCCATGCTACGGGGGTAATGTGACTTGAATCGGTTTCCGACGTTTCCCGAGTGCTAGGACAGCATTGTTTCGACAATCAGTTTGTATTTCCGGTTAAAGCTCTCACTAAAAATTTAGATATTCTGAAATACCGAAATAAAAGATGCAAATCTGTAAATACAAGCTTGACAATAACACTCTCATTAGTGTTTTGGATTCTGATTTGAACAAGACTATTACGAAAAAGATATGTTGAAAGGGACCAAAGTTCTGTTCGGCGAAAGGTTATGCACTTATGCCTTAGTTGGTAATACATTGACATTGTTTACATTGTTCGGGAAAATTGTGTGAAATATGGTATAATGTATTGTTCATGTTGACATTTTACTAAAACCATCCAAAGGAATTGTTTCACTGAATTGAACGGTGGTATTTTCATCCACATACTGTAGCATGCACTGAACCAAAGATATATATGAACCTCCAAAGTAAACCGACGATATGATATGTCCACATCGATCTGCTTTAATTATGCGCAAGTGAAAGAGTATGCCAGAGCCTTTAACTACAAAATTTCATAAACCAACGACTCTTTCGTATGCCTTTAAATTAACTACAAAATTCCATAAACCAACGGCTCTTTCGTATGCCTTTAACTACAAAATTTCATAAACCAACGGTTCTTTTGTATGCGTTTAATTAACTACAATATTTCACACATGCGCAGACTAAAAACTATCACATTAAACTTTTTTATGGTTTATAACATAGTGGTTAGCTGCGCATGCGCAGGCTAACCACAAAAATTGGAATGCACTGCATGAACGTGGAACAAATTTGCCAGTAATAATTGATCTTGTATGATTAAAATCAGCCAACCAAAATCACTTAAAAATAAAAGTGCCACCCCCACGCAAAGATTTAATGGTGGAATAGGGTCGGCTGATTAAAATCACATTGTGTGCACCTGGCTTTATAGATCATGGCTCTCAATCAAATTAAATGGAATGGCCTGTGCCAGTGTATATCTATGTCTATCGAGTCATCGACGTTCGCATGGACCAACCTACATGTATTCTTTAAACTATACTGATTTATACCTGAACCACCAACCATTGTAGATAGCAACGAAACTGCCTTCTTTGCTGCAATTACAAAATTAATAGAGATCCATTGAAGTGCTGCAATGTATGGACTTTGTGGTTTTGAATTGCTTACCAATCCACTTTGCTGTACTTACACAGAGTTTCCCTAAATCTACGTTACCGCTATTGTACGGTCTTGCATGCTCAATTAGCTCGTTTCAAAATGGCGGCAGCAAAGGTGCAAATTTCGCTGAAATACACTGTATTTCGTGGTCTAAAATTCATTCCTCGTGCGAGATACAGCTTTAATTTAGTTTCACCTAGAATTAATCCCAGTCAATCGTTTAAAAACAGTCGTTTCATATCAGCCAGCTCTTATTTAGCCAAAGATCGGGTCGACTCGGACTATCGAAGTGGAAGCAGAGATGCCGAGAATGAGAAACAAAATAAGAATGAAGAAAGAAGTGACCTAAAAAGACTAAAGGAACTTCTGTTTCAAGGAAATTCCAAGGCTAAGGAGAGTGATGAGACTATCCACAATGTAGTCCAATTGGTCAAACCACAATCAAAACAGACGAAACTAAAGGCAAAAGCTGGGGCTACAGTAAATGTAACCCAAATAACAGATATGCTTTCTATCCTGAACCCATCGAAAGATCAATCTCCAGACGGCCAGAGTAAATCCCCAACTCGCATTGAGGAAAGAGACACTCAAATTGATCGCTCAGTAGAAGCCGACAAACTTAGAGATGCATTGTCAACCCTCGAACAAGATAGCTCTACTGCAGATGAAGTAATCATGGCAGGCCGGCAAATTACATCAGATAGTTGGTCTGCCATTGAAGGTGCTTACAACATAAAACAGCAACAGTTCCGAGACAAGGATAAGCGCAAGAAGATGCCTCTGAGTTCACTTAAAACTGGTCCTCGATTTCACATGTTTGACAAAGTACAAGAGAAGTGGTCACATGAACATGGTGACATAGGCAAAACTATTTTCCAAGAAATGGCTGAACAAGAAGTCAAAGACCTGGGGATGTTAGCATCAGTTCAAAGTGGTTTCCATGACTTGATGGATAATGTCCATCGGCAATGGTCATTTCCAGTTGACAATGAAGTCAGCAAAGCAGAGGAAGGTGTTGGTTTTGATGAACATGTATTTTTGGAGCATCTCTTGAATGACTTTCCAAATACTGGAAATATTCGGCAGTTTATGGAACTTGTTGTGACAGGACTCCAGCAAAATCCATATTTGAATGTTCAAGATAAGAAAGAGCATATTGAATGGTTCAGAGAGTATTTTCAAAATATACCTGATGAACAGGTCCAACTATAGCTGTTAAAACTATAGATTTATTGTCATATTATATGGACCTGGTTTCCAGAGACTGGACATATTTGGCAGTTTTACAGAAAAAAACACATACAAAACATGCCCTTTATAAAGGCATCAGAGATTCTCAATATTAAAATAGGGGCCATTCACAAAATATGTGACGCTGTTTTTGCCAATTTTTTACCCCTCTATGACACTATGTGACTCCTGATCAAACATCCTAGGCCCCCATAAGTGTAGCAGGCGTTTAGTGCGGGAGAAGAGAGGGCGTCGTTAAATAAACGCCTGCCCAAATGGCTATGACTAGTGAGTTTTTGACCGAAAAAACTTCGGCTTTAATTATCATTAATTACGTAATTACGTAACTCAAATGTGAACAATAATTTTGACTGCGTATATATTCCCATAAAAATATGGCTGTTAATGCTTTGATATTTCAAGCTAGTTTTTTAGGTTTTGAAATGCAGTTGAAACCATAACAGAGAAAGTTTATGAGTAATTTGCTACGACCTACGTGGTGAAGACGTTGTCGCGATTCTTCCTACGCTACAGGATACGGAAAAAGTTTGATCTTTCAATTATACATAGTATCGCCAAATCAAAGCTTGCTACATGTCAGCACGAGCAGGGATCGAATATTTCTTATAGTTGTATTGTTATTTGTCCTCTAGTTGAAAGTATAATTCAAGACCAGATAGCCGAGGTTACATCAATTGGCATTGCAGCTATAAAGTTGGACGATGATTTTAAGAATAACAACAAAACATGCTCAACTGTTATTTGCTACGCCAGAATACGTTAAACAACCGTGGTTCAGGAGCCTTTTAAAGGATAAAACATATGTATAAAATAGCATAAAATCTCCCTAGTTGCCGAGCAAAAAAACATGCATGATGCTAAATATAAATCTCGACTGTGATTGGATAATGGGTGAACCGGTGACCCTTAATCAGTTAATGAGCGAAAACACATTAGTCATAGCCATTTGGGCAGGCGTTTCCTCGACGACGCTCTCCACTCTCCCGCCCGCACTAAACGCAGGCTACCACAAGCGTCACGTATTTTGTGAAAGTATCGTTTTCAACTTTTCATGTTCTGTATTAGTCTCATTTTCAATAATGTGTCCTGTTCATTTTCATCCCTTATTTTTCTTCTAATTTCTTCCAGTTCCAACTCAGCTATGTAGAAAATACCTTGTTAGGAAAATCAACACTTGTATCAGGTCCTCATATTATATATTCTGTAAACGTAACAATGAATGGGATAACCCACAACCTGACAATATTTCTCCAATCTTATTTATCATTAGCTTGAAGGAGAGATGTTTGAGTAGAATGGTTCTTTCTGAAACCGGCTTGCTCACATGCGTATATGTCGTTGGATACAGATATTCTGATAACTGAATTGAGATCCAGAAAATCTCGAAATTGGCCAGTAATTAGTGCATTCAGTCTTCTCGCTTAACTGAAATATAGGCGAGATGACATGAGTGGTGTTCATGCCATCAGGAAAGATGCCAGTTATAAACTGGTTAAAAATAAGTTGGTCAAGGATAGGGTATATATGAAATCCGCAGAAAATTGTATACATGAACATTCACATGCAGCAGTCCCGATCGCAGCAATTTTTAAATATTTTTCGCTCTTAACTCGCTAATTTCATCGTGACTGCATGGGGCCTGTCAGCCTGTGTATAAAAATGCGAAAAGCGAGTTAGCTTAATCCGGCTTGGTCGATCCAAGCCGTCCGTATCCTAGCTAGAATCTGCTTAGTATATAGTCTGTTAATAGTATATATGGTCTATGGAGTTTTGCTAATGTGGAAAAATTTCTTTTGATAAAGGTATATTTCTCCTATAGAGTTGACAAATATTTTACTGTGCCTTTACTAACTGAAGCCTTTCGATCAGTATAACTTTTCTCGTAAGAAAAGAAAGTTAGTTGGGTAAATCGGAACAAACATGGCATTTAGATTTGAAAACTTTCCAAAAGATGAGGATGGTAGGTTACCATTTTTAATAAAAAGCAGAGCTGAGAAAAGCCGTTGTCGAAAAATGAGAATTGACGGCACGAAGAAAAAAAAGAAAGACTAGTATAAGCCCTTATTAACAATACCCCGAACATCTTTTTCTCTTACGTTGGGAGGAAATTAAGATTTACAGGGTTAGTGTTCTCACAAGGCTTCAATAGTCTCGACTGTCTCGTCACCAATATACTGAAGTTGCGTGAGCATGTATAACATTTTTAGACAATCACAGCTTGCAAATAGTAAAATATCTTGTAAAACATCACATGAAGTCGTTATACTTAGTTTAATCACAGTTAATAGAATACATGGTTTGGAGACTCGATGAAAGTACAATATAACTCATTAACTATGTTGGTTTCGGTTTATGCAAGAATTTGGGCCTATCTCGTCACGTGTGTATTGTATTTTTTCCCGCACAACCAATAGCAATGTTTAAAGGTGATCTACAGTCCGATCTGCGCATGTGCACAAATGAGCCCACTTTTTATGATACAAACAGTTTAACTATGTTTTGAGTTCTTGAAAAGCCTAATTGTTGTTTCTTGATCATTTATTATACTCTAGAAGCTTGAAAATATAAATAGTTGTCGAATAAAGCTCAATATTTTCGACACAAAAATGTAAACAAAGGCTTTGTTTACATACGGACTGTAGATCACCTTTAAATTGAGCATTTGTTCAAGTTACGGATGGATAACTCAACCACAAACTTGTTATTGGTTATTTGAGCGAAAATACAATACACACGTGACGAGATAGGACCAAATTCTTGCATAAAGGATTAAAGCTGGACAATTACATAGTTAATGAGTTATATTGTATGTACTTTCATCGAGTCTCCAAACCATCTATTAAAATAACTGTGGTTTAATGCAACACAACAGCACCTATAAAATCTTAAAGTTATTCAGCGTTTTTCATCCGTTCGTGTACACGCACGGAAAAGTTAATATATTTAATATACATATATTAATATATTTAAATGTTACTTATGATTAGGACCTTAATTCGTATCCTTTTCATAAAGATAAACGAACTAAACGGAACAGCATTTCAGTTCAATTCCAATTACAGAAAAAGGCTGGTAAAGGCAGCATTGCTATATTGAGTTAGAACACAACTTTTTCAATTCTTTCCAAGACTTATGAGCGTGATTTTTCTAATGATAAAACGTCTGAGGCTTTCTTCGCTTTCCTGTCACTTTTGGCTTAAATTGACATCATTTTCATGGTGGAAATTCCAGTTCGCCAGAGAATAAACAGTTTTGCCGTCGGGGTAGATGAAACTCTTGATTTGAAACTCAATATAGTTACGTTTTAATATCAGAGTTTTCAAATATCCTACCACAATCCTTTGAGTTTCTTCATCTGTCAGTAACTTAGCTGGTTCTACGTGTGAAAGAAATTTTCTGGCGACCTGGTCTGAGACTGCGATATCTAATAAACCTGTGTCATCCTGCAAGATGACTGAAAACTGTATAGTAAGGGATAATGTAGCACTACAATTCGGATTAATGCATTTCATTGTCGCACTAAAATCGGGCTTATCAGCACTGTTCTTGATATCACACGATTCGTACCGTTGCCGGCATGATTTGCAGACATATTTTACAAATCGTTTAGGCATATTTGGCATAGCATAACGTACGGCCGCCCAGCAACGAAATTTGGCTGGAACCGTTCCATTCCTTATATCTCGAATCGTGTGTAAAGAAATCCGAGAATCGGTAATCGGGTTTACAATAGCCTGATTTGAAGCAGTTTTACAAGACTCGTCTACACTGTGTTTGGTTGCCTGTTTGGTATGTACCTCTCGTGAACTGTCGGCAGGTGATTCTCCAGTAGCAGTACATTTTACGATGACCTCATCAGAAAAAGACTCGTCTGCAGGTGGTTTGATTGCTTGGCTGGCATGCACATCACGTGAAATATCAGCAGGAGATATTCTAACCTCATCCGCCGTTGGTTTTACGATGAACTGATTCGAGGATGTTGTATAAGAATCGTGTACACGTGGTTTGGTTGCCCGATTGGTATTTCCACCACACGAAACATCGGCAGGTGGTTCTCCAGCGTCGTTGGCAGTAGATATTACGATGGCCTGTTTCATAGTAGATATTACGATGGCCTGTGACATATCTGCAGGAGGTTTTCTAACCTCATCGGCCCTTGGTTTTATGATTGTCCGGATTGAAGTACAAGAGTCATCAACACGTGCTTTTGTTGCCTGTTTGGTACGTAAAACCTGGTTGGTAGTAGTAATACTAGCGGCTCTGATTGTGGTTTCCTGATTCGAAGGTTGTACTCTAGCCTTATTGGCAGCAGTATTTTCAGTTGCTTGAATTGCAGGTGCAGCTTTTGCGTCACAAATGGGTATTTCAGTTGTCTTCGTTGCATCCTCATTTATTCTTCTTCGTTTAGGCGACCGCGTTATCTAAATGTAAACGCTTTTTATAAATAAGTTGAGAAACCTAGCCTCTTGCAATTATCAAAACAGGCTCATGGAGTCATGCTTATTGGATATAAGGTGTATCGCTATATTCTTGCTCTCCTAAGTTTACCGATAAAAAATCAGTCTGATTGAGGCTTCGACATTTTCATCTATAGTCAGTTGTAAATAAATTTGAACGCTACAATGCAGCCTGGCAAGAGGTACGCCTCTACTGTTTCGACGTGGAGTATTTAAAAATCTATTTTCTGAACCAAAAGCAATTGATACAAGGCGAATAAAAACTGGTTTCCGGAGTGGAGGCTATCTGTCTTATACAGGTGGAAAAAAATCTTTTACTTTCTGGGACCGCAAGAAAACATTGAAAATTTTCTGCAAACAATCAAGTAAATCGACACTCGGACACTGTAACTGTGTGATGTTGTCAAACTGAATTCATGTCATGCTATATTTTAGCAGGAACAAAAATTAATTTCATTGCACTGAGAATCTTAATAATACTTGTAGGAATATAACATAAAACTAATTTAGATGACATGCATCAAGGATCTGATCCTAAATAGAGATACTAAATGAGGTACTACTAGGGAGCACTACTACCAGAGGGATCCGTGCTCCCCCAGAAAATTTTGAAAATTAGGTGTCCCAGATTGGCTAAAAATGCATTTGTCATACAACATTTGTTACATTATTCTATAGTCTATACATTTGCACACTATCGCACTATTATGATGGATGGATGTCATACCCACAATACTGGTAACATTCTTTCTATTAGTAAGAACTTTTATCTATTAAATTTTTACAATTATCTTCTCTTTCTTTCTTTCTTTCTTTCTTTCTTTCTTTCTTTCTTTCTTTCTTTCTTTCTTTCTTTCTTTCTTTCTTTCTTTCTTTCTTTCTTTCTTTCTTTCTTTCTTTCTTTCTTTCTTTCTTTCTTTCTTGGGGAAATATTTTCTGGGAACTCAAAAAAATTTTCTGGGACCAGTGGTCCCGTGGTCCGATACTTTTTCCAGCCTTGCTTAGGTGTACTACATCCGCACGTTTACCAAGCCACATCCTACAAGACAAAAACTTTAAGAACGGTTTCATTATTTACGAAGACTCTTGACCAAATAACCTTCTTTGTCTTATTTACTGACAGAGACGGTTATATTCTGAACAGGGGAGGGTGCATGCGGAATAGCCATGTTATCCTTGTCTCTATATATATGCCGGGTTTATACGAAGGAGAGGGGCTATATAGTGTAGCAAATGCTCATAACTGGAAGTTTAACTGCTCGAGTTATATCGGGTGAAGGGATGATCATATTTCGAGCATACTGTGCTTTCGTGTCGAAATACATTCGATTATATTAACTAGAAACTTGCTCCAACATCCTCAAGACAACATGTTTTACCTTTAGCTTGGACAAATCATTCTCTATATCAGGAGGAAGCTGTTCGCTGGTCACTTGTATTTCGTGTGAATCTTGAGGCTCACGTGTTGGTGGTGTAGGCAACACCTCCATTCGTTGTTCAAGCACTTTGACGTAACTATCAGCATCATCCAATATCTTTATTCCACCTTTAGATAACATTCGTTCGTGAAGCGTAAGATTTGGGATCTAGAATTCAGGGAATATGACAAGAAAATTGCATTTATTAAACTTCAACGAACTCTGAACGAAATTCCAGGCCAAGCTATAGCTACAATGCTATGGGATTTACATAGACAATATTATTGATTTATATCAATCTAATATGATATTTTTTATTAATGTTATTATAATATAGTATATTATTATTAAAATCAAGACCCCGGGCATCTACATTAATGGAAAGAATGGATGGAAATTTATTACTAGGCCATGAGGAGCAGTTGCGAAAAATGCAACTATATATATGCCCTTTATTCCTTTAGCAGGAATTGAACCTGTGGCGCCGCGATTCCGGTGCAGCGCTCTAATCAACTGAGTCACAGAGGCCAGCTGCCACTAAGCCCCAACCGCAAGCTCATGCACATACACCAAGGCGATGCCAGTGAAAGGTGTATATATTGGTAATTATCAGGGCCAATATTACATTGATTTTTTCTGTGTTGGTGTAATGTACTCAGGTGAATATGATGCTTGTGATGTTACTCTGAGTGTATATCCACAGCGGGCAAGCTTGAAAAATATGCCTGACCACGGTGGGAATCGAACCTACGACCTTTGGAATGCTAGCCCAATGCTCTACCAACTGAGCTACGCGGTCTGGTCGGTTCGAGTATGTGATATTTCGGAACAGAATCTAGTTCCTTCGATATCAATGTAATTAATGTAATTAATTACATTGATATCGAAGGAACTAGATTCTGTTCTCAGGGATTTCTGTATTACAGGTATACCGTTTCATGGCTATGAGGCCTAATATACATCGTCAAAGTCCGCCTATAGTTTGCCAAAATTTAGAATCATGTCCATACTTTATGACTGTCAAATTAAATTAGCTACTTTTGACACAAGGAATTGAGAATATATGCCAACATTAAGAAACTGTCTTTTTATTTTGGACTGGTTAAACGGGGCGCCCTATACTACATACTAATTTCCTTTTACAAAATAATTTTACTTTACATGCATGCATGCAAACCGTGCGGTGGCGCCCGTTTAGCTCGTATCTAGCTCGATTGAGTCAAAGTGTCAAACCAAACAGGGCGTCCAGTCAGCCCGGCTGAAATTTCTTCACATAAACAAGGCTGAATTGCATGGTGACCAAGTATTAGGTATCTTAATTTGTCCTCCATGGCAGTTTACAAGATCTCCCACGCGCTTCCTAAAGAGTACTCGTTTGTCCTAGTTCTTTGAATACCCAGAAATTAACGATTAATATTATAAAAGCGTTAAAAGGAACAGTTATCAAAACATTAAATATATACATGATAATACATCCTAAAGATGTTGTGTGCGGCGGTACTTAGTAATATACGAGTCAAATCCAACCGCGATCAGATCCCCCCGGGCAACCCCTGGGGAATTTGACTTTTGAAAAAATAAGTGGTCAAATCACAAATGCCCGCCCGAACAGGCAGAAACCACAGTCAAATGCCTTGCTATAGGGGTAGTCCTGGTTATGGAATTTTGGCTAAAATTAAATTGAACAAGTATTTCAAGATTAAAATGAGAACGAAAAATAGGCCAGTCAGTTCTTCTTTTTGTTCAACCGGGCATATTGTATCATATATCTATGATTGATATTTGTGATTCAGAAGCAATTTTTAAACTATCGAAAAGACGTAAAATAGAAAACTCCTGAAGCGCTAGAGTGTACACATATTTTTAGGGACGACCGCTGAGCAAGTTGTTGTCAAGTGGTCAAATGCCCGACCGGGCCGTCAAATTCCCGCCAATACGGAGGTAATCTTAAGTCAAATGCCCGGGGGTTGGCCGGCGGGGGGGTGGGCTGATCGCGGTTGGATTTCACTCGTACATAAGTTGTAGAATAAACACAATTTTCACTTTTTCAAATATCAAGTCTTAGTAGCGCGCTAATAAATCCTGAATAATTTACTAGATACCTGAGAAACACCTCCACATTCATTGTCTGATACATCTTTTAACATGAAATGTAAACTTGGAATCAATATGTACTGTCCAGCCTTACAAGTCGACTCCAGATCGCAGCCATATATCCTAACTTTTACACATTTTCCCACGACTTTGCCGCCCCATTTCGTTGCACTGGTGAACATTTCAAATGCATTGCTCAATAATCCTGCATATATAGTCACAAGTATATTAGTTAGTTCGTCTGAAAAATTTCCTTATACAATATACAATCGGGGAGGGGGGTTGGAAGCTGTGCATGTGGGGGGGGGGATGATTTTTTGTTATGTAGGAATGTATTCCACCCCTAATTCTTGTCCAAAATCGTTCCTATAATCCCATTACAAAGGAGAACCAATTACACGAAATAATCTGGGAAGAGATCGTCAACTATTCTGCTACAAGACTTTTTAACTGCGCATATTCCTCAATGCATGGTCAGGTCAAAACTTTAGTACGTAAGTGCTAAGCATGAAAAACAGACTTTGTAATATCAAATTTTAGTTACAAAACCCACAATTAATAAATGTATTAAATCGATAAATAAATAAGTAATTAAATACATGCATATTAAATGAAAATAAATAACAAACCTTCAAAAGAAGGTTCAGTTCCGTCCCAAACGTGCAACACATTCTGCTCACTATCGACATGAACAACTTGACAGAGCAAATCAAAGTATAAATTACCAGTTACGTCAGCAAGGGTAACGTATATACTTGGCTCAACTATTCCTACCGATACAGCCCAAGCCTTCAGCTCTTTGACCTTTTCCTTGTCAGCGTCAGTGAACGTGGGTGTAGAACAACGCGAATATCGCGGGGCAATGGGTGTATTTGGTCGACCGTCAAATGTCATCCTACAAAAAAGATAATTAATTTCTCCATGACAGGATATTACTCACTGCACCGTCTTGCTGCGAATATATATTTAATAATTGTTGGATGAAGTTGAACGTGATATCGAGAATTATCAAGGCCGAGATAGCACAACCAAGACCTTTCTTTTTACGATTCAATAATTATGTTTAGTATTATCTCTTTGTAGACCAGCAACCAATCAAAATAGATATTGTATACGTAATGTGTAATAATATCATCGCACTTTTGGCTGTTCTTTAAAATTCTTCTTCGCCAAAGTCTGCTGCGAACGACCGAAGGGGACGCTATTTAGTTTATTGTAACAATAGCATTACGTCATCGTGCGATAATTCTCCATTTCGCAACCAAAAGTTCACACTATTGACGTCACTACTATACTTATTGGGTTCTTCCGAGTCCAACACTGCAAAATATTATATATTCTAATAATTTGCAATATTGCATGGGTGAAGATGAATCCAATAGATGATTTATAATTATATTAATTATAACAAGTCTTTGTAAGCGAAAATAATGCAGCAATGCGGCAATAAAACGGTGACAACATGTATGACACCTCGGCTGCCAAAACAAACTAATACATAACTAAAACAAACTAGCTTGTTTTAAAAAACAAAAGTAAGCCTCGATAAAACTCAATTCCATTTTGTATGTTTTAACGGCGATTTGACCTAATTTTAACGATAAAGAAATTATATATTACTGACCAGTGTCAGTGACCTCAGGACTGTTTTCCGTGCTTTTATATAATTTTAAACAAAACTATATAGGCATAGAATAAACGCTCTTAATATTCAAAATCCGTTTGTTTTGTGTTTAAATTTACAAAGCATATCAAAAGGTGCGATAAACAAGGGGGAAAGCGGTGATGAGTTACTATCCGATAGGTACGACTAGTGCGACTAGTGATTGGTCGATTGCATGTGAGGTGTAATCACCACATATTTGGTCAGCCATGCATGCATTGAGTTGATATGATACTTTCAGTGTTGCACGGATGTTTATAGCCAATCAGAAATCACGAGTTGCTCGTTCCTATTAAGGCTTAATTCTCATAAAACTTCGCTACAGGTAGCTCTAGAATTAGGCATAAAATTAAAAAAATACCCATTCTGTAAAAAGTGAAGAGACATGCTTTAGAAATTTTAAGCAGAATCTTTTATGATATCTGAGTTGTAGAGGGAGGCTAAAACCCCTCGCCTTCACCTAACAGAAGAACTATAACTTCAAACATTGCTTCTTCAACATGAAGAATCGTGGTTGCCATGGTAACATGAAAATATTTTTGAGAGACAAAATTTACACAAAATCGAAAAATATAAAGAAGGGATATTAATTTTCATCTCTTCTTGTATTTTGAAAATCACATAATATTGATTTTCAAAATCTAGAAAGTATCGAATGTAAAATAAGACGGTAAAACGTTTGGAAACTTTGCCGTGACACACATAAAAAAACTCCAGTTTTGCCAAACAAATAAATTTCTCGAAAATATACGGTAAAATATAATTGCTTTAGGCACAAGCTTTTACTTGAATTAGTTTTGCTCAATCTACATTTGCTGAAATGCATTTGCTGTAGCCATTATAAACACACATAAAAACACAATCGATGAATTTTCCCAAATGAACAAGATTGATCACTAGCTGCAATTTCATGTAATTATCAGCTCGCATAAAAACATATCATTGAGTTAAGGATAACTAAAATATTCCCGTAGATGGGAATGAAATCGACAACACAAAGCAGGTATGGTATGGAATTTTACCACATAATTCATAAATGTTAATTTACTATACTTACCAAATTGCGAGGCGTAAAAAAAATGCCTGTGGTTCCGGTTTCCGACCGACCCTTTTTTTCTGCCGACCCTATTATTTTTTCAACGCGATTGACCGTGCGACCTTATTTTCTCCAGGTGGTTGCGGGCTGCTCATACAGCGTGCCAAAATGGAGTCTGTTGTCACACTAATTATTGAACCAAATTGCCTAAATTCGTCCATAGGAAATACGCAACTCTAGTTAATATATTGATGTCGGGACTCTACTGCAAATCGCCCAGCAAAAAACCGCCACCAAAACTATGAAAATATTAAAAAAAAAATTATTTCCGACCTACCGACCCTAATTTTTTCACGATATAAAACCGGGAACCACAGGTATTTTTTTTTACGCCCGAAGACACCGATTAAATTTACATTAAAATCATATTTGTCTTCGACTCTTCGACACTAAGACACTAAACTAAAACATAACAAAAACAAAAACAAAAAGAACTAAAACATAACTAAAACAAACTAGCTTATTTTAAAAAACAAAAGTAAGCATCAATAAAACTCAATTCCATTTTTAACGGCGATTTGACCTAATTTTAACGATAAAGAAATTATATATATTTATTACTGACCATGCAGTGTATAATACTCCGTAATATGTTATATGTTATATTTCATAATTTCCAGTCTTAAATCCGTCTGACCGTGTAGCTCAGTTGGTAGAGCGTCGATCTAGTAATTCGAAGGTCGCGGGTTCAAGACCCAGCCGCGGCAGACAACATCGTTCTGCTTGCGCTGGGTATGGAAATTATATAATACACACTCTAGAACATTAATATATATATATATATATATATATATATATATATATATATATATATATATATATATATATATATATATATATATATATATATATATATATATATATATATATATATATATATATATATATATATATATATATATATATACAGGGTGTATCAAAAAAAGTAAGACAATTTTGAAATTGCTCTCAATTCCACAATTCTGTTCATGAAATGTAATTTTTGCTATATATGGATTGCTTGAGTTCTTAAATTGTGGAAAATATAAAAAAATTTGAAAATAGTAAATTTTGCTATCCAGGGGGGTGGTCAACTTTTGCTCCCCTAAAAGTGGCTTGCGCACGGAAATGACAAACGGTATTCTTTATTTGAGTTCATGTATGAAAAGTTCGCTATTTGTTGCATTTATGATAAAATTTCGGCAGGATTTTACCGAGTACAAATCCTCCGAAAAGCCTATGAAAACGTTACATTTTTCTCTGTTGGTGCTGTTCTTGCTTCATTATGAATTCATTTTTACTCCCATGAGAGTTCCGTTGAATTTCCATGGAATTTGTGCTTTCGAGTTGTTTGTGCTGAAACGCATTCTCTCGTATAATACCCCGTACACTTTGAAATGGCGATGCCACAATTTACCCCGCAGCAGAGAGCTTTTATGCATGGTATCAGAGTTCCTCTGTAGCAACAACATAAACTTGGTTCGCCAAAGTTTCACGAACGAATATCCAGACTTGTGTACGATGCCCTTCACGTATTCGCACGTGAACGGCATCGTACATCTGGATATTCTTGAAACTTTGGCGAACCAAGTTTATGTTGTTGCTACGGAGAAACTCTGATACCATAAAAGCTCTCTGCTGCGGGGTAAATTGTAACATCGCCATGTCAAAGTGTACGGGGTATTATACAAGAAAATGCGTTTCAGCACAAACTCGAAAGCACAAATTCCATGGAAATTCCATGGAACTCTCATGGGAGTAAAAATGAATTCATAATGCAGCAAGAACAGCACCAACGGAGAAAAATGTAACGTTTTCATAGGCTTTTCGGTGGATTTGTACTCGGTAAAATCCTGCCGAAATTTTATCATAAATGCAACAAATAGCGAACATTTCATACATGAACTCAAATAAAGAATACCGTTTGTCATTTCCGTGCGCAAGCCACTTTTAGGGGAGCAAAAGTTGGCCACCCCCCTGGATAGCAAAATTTATTATTTTCAAAGTTTTTTATATTTTCCACAATTTAAAAACTCGAACAATCCATATATAGCAAAAATTACATTTCATGAACAGAATTGTGGAATTGAGAGCAATTTCAAAATTGTCTTACTTTTTTTGATACACCCTGTATATATATATATATATATATATATATATATATATATATATATATATATATATATATATATATATATATATATATAGTTTTTCGTTTTACCTCAAAAACCACAACAGTCTGTTTCATCCGTATAGGAATCATCAGGTGGTGATTCCTATACGGATGAAACAGACTGTTGTGGTTTTTGAGGTAAAACGAAAATCTATATTACGCTCTATCTATAACAACAACAACAACAACAATTTATTTTTGCACCACCAAGTAAAATAACATTATATGATTTTTTTTTAAATATAAATATTATGGCACAGGTCACCAGAAATAGTGAAGACTAAACCAGTCTAGTGACCTTTTATAAAATAAATGAAATAATGAGTTTTATATCATTTTGTATAATTATAAAAGTATATATTCATATGAATACTTGTGGCAGCGCTAGTAAATGAAAATCATATTTTCCGCAATTTTATTCTTAAAAGATGATTTGCTAAGAGTTTTATATTTATCATCAATATCATTCCATACTTTAGGACCCTGAAATCGAAGACTGAATTTGCCATAGTTAGTTCTTATTTTATCAATATAATATGTATTTCTAGAAGCCAATCTGGTATTATAATTATGTACTGATGTGACCTGTTTGAATATGTTATTAAATGTGGCAGGAAGATTCCCGTTATGATAATCATACATGAATAAAGCGTTGTTTAGAAAAACAAGATCACGAGCTTCAAAATATTAAGATTTTTAAATAAAGGACTAGAATGATCGTCAAATTTAGAAAAGGTAATAATTCGGACTACTCTTTTTTGTAAGGTTATTATTGGATTAAGATTTGAAATATAGGTGTTTCCCCACAACGTTATTCCATATGTCAAATATGGGTAAATTAAGGAATAATAAAATTGTAATTACATGTGAGGTAACAAAATGGCGAATTTTACACAACATTCCAATACTTCTCTTGATTTTTTTCGAAATATGTTGAATATGACTTTTCCAATTAAGATTACAGTCTATATAGATTCCTAAATACTTGAGACTAGTTTCTTGTTTAATTTGTACTTGATTAGTAAATATTTTTATTGTGGATGTAATTTTCTTTTGAGGTGGATGAAAAATAACAAAATTTGTCTTATCAATGTTAAGGGAAAGTTTATTACAGTTAAGCCAGGAATTAATATTTACAATATTATCATTAATAACTTGTTCCATGTCCAAAACACTCTTGTTTGTACAAAACAGATTAGAATCGTCAGCAAAAAGATGAAAATCGAAAACCTTTGAACTATTATTGAAATCATTCATATACAGAAGAAACAACAGTGGGCCGAGTACAGATAACAAGCTCGTCGGATATATATGGTATTGAGCACTGTTTGTGTTTCGTAAACCAAAATCTTATAAGCTATATATATATATATATATATATATATATATATATATATATATATATATTATATTGTGGTGTGTAGACCTCATCAACGTGTATTGAAAGCGCTCAATAGGTATACTAGAGCTATGTAGAGTTAAGAGAGACTTCTTAATTTAAAAACATTTAATCGCTACTCCACATGTAACATCTTCGATCGGCATTCGCCTGACGATTGCTTCAGCAGAAGCATGAAACTCGGAGTAGCGATTAAATGTTTTTAAATTAAGAAGTCTCTCTTAACTCTCTATATATATATATATATATATATATATATATATATATATATATATATATATATATATATATATATATATATATATATATATATATATATAAAATGTTAAGAAAAAAACATAATGCTCCTTACCAAGGAAATTGATCATCTAATGTGCGACCTTGAAGAGTGTCCTTGTATTTCGATATTCTTAATGGAAATTTGATAATATCACCAACATTCATAATCAATGGGATGTCCTGCTCAAACTTCTGGAAACATATACATTTTAAGCACTTATTGTTTTTGTACAATGTCTGGTCAACAAGTCCGAAGGGGAAATACATGTCAGTGCCTCCCGACTGTTTCGGCGGACAGAAATAACTCACAACGGCAAACACGCTGACACAAGAATCTTTCCTCGTAAGAGTACCTAATTTACGATTTTTTTGCATTTCCCAATTCCTGGGCGTTTGAAACAGTTTTTTACTGAACTTTCTTGGTCCAGGTTTCCTTTGCACTTCAGAATATGAGGCTGCTTGATGTTGGGTACCTTCATTTAATGCTCGACTCTCGTTTGGTAGACAAGTTGTGAGGGGTTTAGTGGCATCTTCGCTATTGGTTGTTGTTCTATCTGTTTGTTTTGTTGAATGGTCATTTGTTTTGTTTATTTCTTTTGATTGATCTTGGCATAATGTTTGAGAGTGTTGTGGTTTATTTTGCGCAGATATGTTGGTTGTTCCCTCATTTGTATTTTCAACTTGCATGTCCGCTGCAGCTTGGTTGGTATTAGACACACGCGTGATCATAACATCATCATCAGTTGACATAGCAGTTGGCTGTAATTGATGCCCGTTACATGGGTCTGACCTGAAAAGAATTAAGTTCGATAACTATGTGTTTATTTTTAATTACTAGATTACATTAACTAAACGTGGTGCTATGTTAGCCTAATGAAATGTAAAGAACTCATACTAAACACTAGTAACACTCTTTAATATGAGTTGATTGAGCCATTTTGTTTTCAGTACATTACATTTTCCTAATTATACCAATCTCTGTCTTCATGTGAACAGAATTAGCAGTGTACTCGCCATAAAATCGCCTGGACTCCATTCAAAAGCATTTAAAAATTAATGTTTTAAATTATCAGTCCGGTGTCGCAGGAAATTCACCCCTCACATGAACTCCTTTCTCCCCCTTCTGCAGTGCTATCGCCAGATGTTAATAACATCACATTTGTGATTCCAACTTATGCGTTTCGCGTGACTATTCCTATCAGTATAGCGTTGAATCGAACGACGAAGGCGTGAGAGTGGCTATATAGGTTCCGGGGGCAGTTGCTAAGATCTAGAGTCCCTGAAATGCGATTTCGAGCATCTTTGGGGTGAGATTTTGCAGAGTTCCAAAGATTATAAATTAAAGTGCATCAAAGACATGATTTTTTACCAGATATTTCTCCTCTAAACTGAATAAAATGGAAAAGTCACCTTGGAAAACTGGAGGATGGGTCCGTGTCACCTTATTTCCCCTCTGTGCGTGATGTTGGGGGAGAAAATCCCAATGTGATTTTGATCAGAATTCGGAAATTTTGCATTAAGGTAATTCTAGGTTCTATATGAGACCATTTCTCGCAGTACTTCATCATTCTCATGTTAGTTTTAAGGTTACATGAATGTTTGCAAATGTTGTACTGTACTGTCTGTACATTATATATACAGGATAATGAGAACTTTACATTAATTCCTTTTGCTCTGACATTTAAGCAAATGGCCATTAATTATTACGTTTTCAAACTTTTGCTAATTTCTCATCCAATTTCCATCCAAATTTAACCAAACTTCTATCAATTTGCCCTTGGAGAATGTCCATTAATCCCACTATGCAAGGCTGTACACCCCGCCCCCCAGCCCCACAATATCATGTTTATATTTAGTAAATATTGGAGTTTTAGGCAAGTATGATATGCAGTGTTGTTTTATCAGGTTTTAAAAATCCGAGATTTTTTCATATTCGGAATATCAGGCTTTTAGCTGTTGAATGATATGTTCTTCATGCGAAATAGATGACTAATGAGCAAATACGAATCCGATAAAAAATGTTAGTCAGAATCGCACATTTTCACCGTTGAGAGTTGGGTCTAAAACCATTGAAAATTAACCCCCTCTAGGACTTAAGTTGATGAATTTCACGTCATTAAACTACACACATATTCATAATTATTATCAAGTAGGAATAAATCTTAGCTAAGCTGTGATTAATTGCTTTTTCGTTTGTTATAACTTATGCTTATGCAATGCTTTAATTACTAGGCAGAGGTGAAAATATGCGATTCTGACTAACATTTTTTACTCGTACTTGCTTATTTTTTCTCCACTCGGCATGAAAAACATGTCATTCAATAGCTAAAAGCCTGATCTTTCCAAATTTGAAAAATATTGTTCATACGCCGAGTAATTCACATACAATAGCGCGCTGAAGTTCGATTACCTTTTTTTATACACACTGTATTATATACTGTAGTTTACATGATTTTCCAAAAAGTGTTCTAGATAATAACGGCTTATTGACCTCGTTTGTTCGGTCTGTACTGTGAAATATCAGACCGAGGTTTTTTAGTATGGAACGAGCGACGAAGGAGCGAGGTCCATCCGAAAAACAGAGGTCTGATATTTCACAGTACAGACCGAACAAGCGAGGTCAATAATCGGTTTATTATATGGCTGAACTGAATCTGTGAGCATATGCTTTTCGCGCGAATTAAATCGGCTATCGTCAGTTTCACTGGGTAACAATATACGGTAGGCATGCATGCTCAATCAAAAACAATTTGGTTGTTTGAAATTTTTATCTGTAAATTTTAATGACACACAATTGGAAAATTAAAAAGCAAAAATTTTTTCTCTTTGCAAAGCAAAAATATCCTGCCAGATAAACGACATCCGGGACACCGGTCCAGATACGGAAAATACGGACCACGGTCCGGATATGGCTTTTTACTGACCGCTTGTCAATCAATCAGAATAGAGAATTTTGAAAAGGCATATAATAATTATTATTATATTAATGACTTGAGCGTTTTAATTAATTATTATATTGTTACAAAAGAAAGCTTACAATTCATTATGTGATTAGCCATTCCGAAGTTGATGAGAGGACTGTGGACGAGTGTTAAAAAGTGCCCAAATTAAGAAATGAACCAAATAGCTAAAAAGACCACCTCAAAATTAGTAAGTATATATACAAAGTTTGAAGACGTTTACATGAATACCCTTAGATTGATTTTGGGACGCGCGTCCCCAAAACATTAAAAGATTGTTTTTGGGACGCGCGTCCCCAAAACAAAAATTACAATACATTTCATAGTAAATATCGCGATTTTCGAATTCAGTAATAGTAAATATTCGCGATTTTCGAATGGTCAGTGTACCATTTTAGGCGTCAAAAAATTTTTCCCAACATACCAAAATTTTTCGGAACCTAACTAAAATTTTCGAAACATCACAAAATTGACCACAAAATTTACAGAATTTGTCCATTTATTTTTATAATAAACGAATATTGCCCGACTGCCCAAAAAACGGGGGGGGTGCCCCCCCCCGCCCGGTACGCCTATGAACTTGATATTATACATTATTTGGCAAATTCTTATGTTTCGTTAACCCATTGAGTGCAAGTGCCAGGGGTGGAAAATATAGCGGACCACGGGACCATTGGTCCCAGAAAATTTTTTATGCTGGCAGAAAGAAAAAAGGGAAGGAAGAAAAAGGGGGAAAGAAAGAAAAGAGGGAAAAGGAAAGAAAGAAAAGAAGGAAAAGGAAAGAAAAAGAATAGAAAGAGAGAGTAACTGCACCAATAAGTAGCCATTTTGTTTAGGGACAGACACTAGGTGTAGGGGGTGCCCCCAAAATAATTTACGAAGAACTTTGATAGCGGAATGTAGCCTCATTTGCAAGTTCTACCCCCTTTGTTGGCTTTGTATTGTACCACTGCCCTGGTTCCAAAATATCGTTCCCCTCCCTCTTTAATTTTTATTTCTATAGGAAGTAGTAATAGTAATAGCAACAGTAAAAATGACTATATTAGCATGACTTTACATACAAGTATTGCTTAGTAGTTGGTATAAATATTTACAAATGCAAAATGTTTTGTGGTAATATGACATACTGTCATGATCAGTATCGAGTAATACCAGGAATAGAAAATGAAGTTATTGGTATAAAGGAAGACTTTAGTTTACATACAAGTACCCTATTTACAGTATATAATTGAAGTTTGGGTTTTAGTTAAACAGCCTATTCACTGTCAGCATTCATGGCTTCAAGGCATTTAGATCTCTTCTCAAAACATAAAGAGATGAATTTTGATAATTTTATCACGGTTTCATTACCAGTTGATTTCATTATCTCAACTGGTAAACTCAGTGTTCATTTAGATCTGCTTCATTGGTGGGATCACATTCCAAGTAATTTAAAAAGTTTTCGTGAAGACTACTATGGGCTTTTAAGCCCATAAGAATTCACAAGGAGTTAGGAAGTGATGTTCTGTTTAAACTTGTCCTGACTGGCAGATCTTGCATACTCGGTCTTCTCACGGAATAAACAAAAGATGGACATTTATTTCCCCCCTGGCACCCAAAGTGTCTGCCAGTGATTATATTATATGAAGCACAACTAAATGCAATCATAGTTAATCGAAAATACACATATTGCTAGGAAGATTGGTAAACTTCAAGTAATTTCCTAACCAAACTTCAATTGATGTTGAAAACTTGAAATGTACCTGACAGTACACAATTTGTTTATCAATATGAAAATCTTACGGTTGAAGTCTGAGATTTCCATTGAGCAATTGCTTCATTATACAGAACAAAAGGTTCACTCACTGTGAAATTGCATAAATTTCCATAAAGGACATAAAGGTTAACAAGAACATAGAACTTACATCATTACCTTTTGTCCAACTTCCCAAACATGTTTGTTTTCAGACTATTAATTATGATGCAAATATTAATACAATTCAAAACCACTTTGGAAAGAACACAAATTCACAGTCTTTCCTCACTTGTTTATTTCAATTAAATCCTTTATTCCTTTCCTCAGTTGCATTAGGAAAGAAAATCTTCTAGGACTGTCACAGCTTTTATATGGTACTTAATGGTTATTTAATAATTCTTAAATCTTATTAGCCCTCTTTGCAAGTGACCCTTTAATTAATTTAAATTATACAGGATTTGCGTCGACAACTCACAGAAAATTTTCCCACTTTTCGTTGCGGTCCCAGAAAATAATTTTTTTTCCCACCCCTGGCAAGTGCTCTGACTTGCCTTTATGTGTTAATAAATTGTTCAAAAAATTATTTAATAAGTAGTCAGTACTGTAAAATGTGTATTTTCAGCACTTTCACACTAGTCTTTTTATTTTTGTATTGAAAATGTCATATAATGTCCAATGATGGGATGAGCTTGTGGATTTGTTATATATTTCATTAATTAAAAGTGGGGAATTTGAAATCTCTTGCCCAGGGGATAGGGAATTTGGACAGTTAAATTTTGAAAAGTCCAAATTCCCAGGGGTGCAGTATGGTATAAATATTACTACTTTTGCCCAGGGATCGATGGCGAATTTGGTCAGTTAAATTTACAAAAGCTCAAATTCCTAGGGATGCAATATGCCCAGAACACAGAATAGACACTTACAGATGTCTGACACAGCCAAAAAAGCGTAACTGCAACCACACCATGATTTGCAATGATCTGTCATCAAAATATGCTCGTCTATTTTGATACGGTACCAAAATAAGGTACCAAAATAAGTTTACACAAAATTTCTATTTTCAACACCGGAAATGATTAGTGCACTCATATTGCTAGAGTATCGGTCACTTTCAATGGGAATTTACTGTTTTTAACTGGTCAGTGGAAAAAATATGTTTTCCAATGAACTAATGTAATCCCACTTTATATAATCCAATAAAGTTGTAAGAGTATTAAATAAATAAGTAAACCAACAGCAAGTCAATATTTTTTGTATCTGACTTAATGGCACACTATTTTGATGAAGTTATTTTAATTAATAGTTTTTTAGTCTTTTGTTTGACAAAAAAATTCTAAGAAAAATTAAAATCGTGCTAAAAAAGGGGGTGCAAGTATCAAATGATACCAGGTCAGTAATCGATACCGCTGGATGTGGTATCGATTACCAAGTACTCAGTATCAACCATCACTACTCACTAGTTGGACTTCTGTAAGGGGCCATGTCCATATTCATGTTGCCACAAATAACATCGAATCGACGTTATGAGTGGGTTTTTATGTGAACTTGTCGACTTTATCTCATGGCAATTTGACGTAATTAATGTCCAAACTACCACACAGCCTAGACCCTTACCAGGCTGGCTTTGGCAGGTATCTTTGGCAGGTTTGGTCAATTTCAGGCTAGCACCCAGTCTTGTCATGTGAAAAAGCACTGAATATTTAAAAATAGAAGGCCTGGTGCACTTATCAATGTTTAGCCCTGGGGGGGGCATACCCGGGGAATTTGACTTAGTTTGCCTTCCTGAGGGTGGGGAAAATAAGAAATTTGACATTTTTTCAAGTTCCAGGGTGCTGGAATTTGACATGGTCACACAATAGTCTGGGCACAAGTTTTTCCTCATCCTTGTCCCCAGGACTACACTCGGTCGTCATTTTGCATAGCGTGGACTTCATGCTTGCATTGAATATCACATTGTTGTTCATATATTAAAATATGTTTTATTAAAAAAAATCGGCAAAATGCCCTTGTTCAAAGCCTGAAAAGCAGTAGCAGCGAGTGGATACATTCTTGTACCCAGAGCCCTTCTTATGCTTCGACGAGGGGCTCTGGCCAAATCCATATCAAACTGGCATCTGATTGGCCACAACGAAGGTTATTGTTCTAATACCGGATATATTCTATTACCATGTTTTGGTTATGGATTTGGCACCCTTGTCGCACCGCGCGTAAGAAGGGCTCTGGGTACAAGAATGCGAGTGGATACAATGAATTTGTTATTGGAGGTGAGTGATTTGCTTCTGTCTACTGTCAGATATTTCCATACCGCATGCTTATGAATATTTGCTGCCAAAGGCAGCACTCCTAATCTTGACATGAAGGTTTCTCCAGAGTTCACTCAACCCAGTCTTTCGCGCCGATCTATGTATTGTCGAGATTTCGATTTGTGTCTGTCCGTTAAGATGTCGTAATTCCGGGGGGGAACGGACGGGGGGAGTGCGAGAAAAATGTTAAATTGCGTGCACATATATGCAAACTTTTTATTCTGGATCTGCAAAATATACGAACATTTCCCGAAGAAACCAGGTAAGTATGGCTTTATTTCTTTGTGCTAATATCCATCAAGGCGATAAACTGTTTAGCGTTCATTCTGGAGGCAAGCAATGTGCTTTTATGAGTTTACGGCGCTTCTTAGACTTCTTATAGCCCGAAATAATTCCCATTGGCATTGTCCGCATGGTGACCTGGTCGTTTATAGAACATTTGATAATTTTATGTCATATTCAAGGAGACGAAATGTACTTATAAAGAGCTCTGAAGTAATATGATTCATGAATGTACCGGCAGTTTTAATAATAGCCCGCCTGATCTATTCGTCAATAATGCCTTTATATTTATACAAGGAGTCACAATGCACTCAGTTTATTTGTTTGTTTATATGTGCCAAGACGATGAGTATTGTGTTCACTTCTAGATGTTTATAGTTTAACAACAAACGCGGAATGTTGTTAAATCAGGCTTACTGTAATAAGATTCCTAGAGCAATCCAGTGTGGATTGTTGTCTGCACTTTAAATATTGACTTACCAGCAATTACATGTAATAGTATGTCAACTGACTTTTGTAAAGATATGACTGTCTGTTTATATATACATTATATGAAATAATCCTACCGGCCTACATTCATATATTCACCTGGCTGTGTCACTACATTTCAGAGTGTATTTATATTTTTCGATAATGCTCACAATTAGAAATGTCAACAAATAGATCTTGTCTCCCCATCAGCATAATGTTCGGTTGTTCTGTACTATGGGCAGCCTTGAAGGTGGCATTAAAACAATAATTGGAACAAAACCTGACTGAGTATTTTCATATAAACATTGTACAGTATTCAGTGGCAAGCTAGCCATGGCAACTGGCCATGCTATGCTGATAAACCTGCATCTATAATTTTGAATAATGCAAATCATTAAAAACTTGCATAGCATGACCTAGCTGTTGCTATGGCTAACTTCACCACTGACAGTATTATAATTATACAAAAGCAAGAAGTTATAAGCATTGAAGATATTCATATAAAACCGCCCATGCCAAGAAAGTAGAATTAGACTACTTTTAGCCACCCTTCGACTTTGTGCAAGATGTTTGATATTCAATTTGCCTTTTTCCTATCTCCTGAACAGGCGTCTTAGAGGCTGTTTGCATGATGGAAGGAACAATGATTTTGATGTATTGAAATATTAGTCACTAGGCTAAATAGTGAAAGTTCAAATGCTGGTTAGCAGAACTCAAATGTTGTAAAGAAGATCTTGTGGTTCAAGAAGATTATACTATGCTTGAATAGGCAACCTTTCGTTTACAGTTAACTATAGTCTATCTCTAGAAAATAGTGTAGTTTTTTGCTGAATCATGCACTGTGACGTATTTAAGTACATCAAAATCAGGGATGCCGGAACCACGGGTGCAAGTGCACCCCTTGCCTTTTGCATTTTCAACTTTGTGGGTGCAGTGCGGGTGCAGACTATGGGTGTAACAGGTGCACAAAACTTTTACAACAGACAGAATTAAACATCGTTCGAGGATGTGTGTGGGGGTGTTCCACCCCCCAGTTGTCAGGAATTCGGCAAAATTGTTATCCATTTGGCGAAAGGTGAAACAGAAAGCATTACTTATGGAATTTTTGGCGAGAAATTACGGAGGAATTGTGCCTAAATAATTGTATTCGGTCCGAAAACATTTGGTGACGGGGAGGGAGGTTGACACGAATGTAGGATCATGACGCCCTTTCATTTTCATTGGTGCCTTTTATTAAGGCGTATGCCCTCATGTTAACCAATTGCACCCCTTGCCCTCAGCAACTTCCGGCATCCCTGATCAAAATCATCTTGCCTCATATCTCGTCCTGGCAAAGCGGGATCATATAAACAGCCCTTATTCAGCGAATTGTGCATGCTGCCTTTGATCCCTTGGGGGTGAGGCAGCATTTTCCTTGCGATAGTAACTTCTAGTAATAAATAATATTGATATTTATATGGATTTTGTATGCAATGAAGTATTGATTTATCTAGCTAATCATTGCAAATATTTTCCTCCTAGGTGAGGGGCATTTGACACAAGAGATTGTCCCCATGGCGGGGAAATTGACACGAGAATTGGGCAAAATGTCAAATCCCCCGGGTATGCCCGGCCCCCCTCCCCTGGGGCTAAACATTGACAAGTGCATAGGTCTAGGCTGACTACCACGTACAGTACAGCTTTTGTATTATAAATACGAAAGTTATACGACTGAATATCAATCAACGTTATCTGGGGTGGGTGAAGTATAACGTCGATTCGACGTTATTTTCGATTCGACGTTATTTGGCCCCTAAGTGATTTTCCTGTGCCTGGGGTCAGTGGGGTGGGGATTGTGATGTTTTGATTATTTATATACTATGGTAATACTGTTTTTGTATCCAAAAATATTCATATTTAGACTAATCTATAAAAAAATATGACCACAAATGTTTTAAATACTGTACCTTCCCAGTTTCATATAATCCTGACTGGCAAGATCGCCAAATGAGTTTTCCAGCCAGCCGGCCATCGCAATACACAAATAGAAGGCGAGCTGTGACGCGAGTGAAATTACGATCTGTCCAAAATATACTACAATCGGATAATCTTCAATAGTTCAATATATTCAATAATTTGTAAACACTATTTAGACATCAGTAAACCGGCGCCATTTTCAAATTTTGCTAATTTTGCTTCCACTTGCTAATTTTGTAGCCTCCTCACTCCATTGAATATTTAGTTCAATGCCTCCCTCTCTCGATCCTCCTTCTCTCCTCCTCATGGTCACAGATGAGGTAAGTACAGATATGAATCTCCGGTCAAATTGCTGATTGTTTTGTGTCACACGGAATTCTCACTTCCGGCGAGCGCTGGCAAGTGTCGTCATAGTGTCGTTCTGAAATTGAGGGGGGGGGGGAAATGGGGAAAATAAGGATTGAAAACTTTTTTGACCCCTCCTCCAGACTGAAGGCAAACTTTTTGTGCCTCCCCCCTCATAAAAGTAGAAACTTTTCTGACCCCCCCCCCAGTATGGATTGAAAAATTAACAGCAATGAAATAGGTGTGCGTTGCAGGTAAAGTTAGATATTAGGACAATCCGTTTAATCTAGCTCATGATGTTTTACCCTGGCGAATATGATTCAACCATATATGATTAAAAAATATATATTATGTGTTACTACGTATACTTTGCAATGCAACATTTGTCCTACCATAACCCTAACCCATGACCCGCCTTCATACAGCGAAATGATTTGAACACAGGGTTTTTTTAAGAACTTGTCTGGGGGGTGGGCATCTACAAAAAGGGACCATACTATATTGCCAGTGTGGAAAGATGACAGATGGTTGTTGGTGACAAAAAGTTTGGTGTGGTATCGTATGTACTAGTAGGGGGGTCTTTTGTATTTTTCCACCCCTAGAACTGAAATGTGAGCATTTTCTGAAACAGATTTTTGGATATGCAGCTTTACATTGTGCGTTGATAGACCGAATCTGATCAGTTAAGTGTACTTGCATGGTATGTTTATGTAAATATCACAACTGGGTCACTCAGGGGGTAGAAACTTGTTAAACTTAGTGGGCCCGACTCCCACGATCGCGTGGCGCTACCATGGTTGGCACCGAGCAGGGAAATTTTGAAAATTTCGAGTCTCTAGATCGTTGGAAATAGCATTTTCAGAGTCTTCTTTTTTGCTATTTGTGATTATAGAAATCAGAACTCTAGACATGGTATTTAAGTTCCAAAACTTTTATGACCCCCCCTTTCTCTGTGTTAAAACTTTTTTGACCCCCCCTATTTATAAGGGTAAAACTTTGTCCCCCCCCTCCCATTTCCCCCCCTCCCCCTCCCATAAATAATGACCACTCC